AGCTACTCAGTACTTCAGCACCTCACCATTTCAAGCAGTGCCATTCTGTGTTCCATTCTGTAATTCTCATCAGATCTAAGAATGAGAATTGCTGTATGAATCAGAGCAGTTGTTACTTATTCATTCTCTTCTGCAAAGTTTTTTTATTAAGTAACCATTTACTCAAAAGACTTTGTTAAAATTCATTTACATGGATTGTTTATAACAGTAAGTGATTTTGCTAGATATCAATCTAATGCTTAATCTGTCGTTGTAAAATACAGTTGTAATGCACACAATGAAATTAAAATGCCTTTCAGAGTCCACGTAGAAAACCACAAGTTGGCAATGCTCTAGCCAGTCTGACCTGTTTGTTTTTGTGTGTCTTTTGGGCTGAGACATTAGTACTTGCCTTGTAGGGATCTCTCTCTGTGGCATTGCAGTAACAACATCCTCAAAAAAAAGCCTCTACTCTTTGTTACTGAGATTTTAGATGGAGAATGCCTATCTTCAGATGAAGCTCTTAACCATGACATCATGTAAGATAATGTAACACAGAAATTGTATTGCAAAATGGGGAATATAGTGCCCTAACAGGTCACTGGTATATTAAAGAATTAAGACTTCAGGAAGTAAGCCTGTGCTGGGTTCACACATAGACACTGGTGTCTTGAGGGCAAAGGAGTACCGTCCTCTAATGCCCTCTGTCCTGTTTTCCAAGATGGAAAGAGAATAACAGTCATCTTGCTAACCCCTTGGGATCTGGCTTGTAGTTTCTTCTACAGGTCTACGAGCAGAGATAAAAGATGGGTTTAGCATTAATCATTCTTAGGACTGGATTTAGGTGTGTAGTCACAGTTGTAACCAGGTGGTTGCACAAGCTGTGAAACTGCTTCCTCTGTTGTCTTCTATTTATCTGCCTTAATGACTAGAAAACAGAGTGTTCAAAAGACAAAACTAAATTATTTTACTGATACATTGTTTACTTTTCATCTGGCTAAGATATTTAAATTGTATTTCTTTAGGATTCCTGGTTGCTGATGTTGCAGTAGCATCAGCATCCACAGCTAAGTTTGGAGAAAGGTCACTTTGATACAATGATGTTTTAAGTGGACAAGAGCAGCTCTGGCTGCAGTGGCTCTCATGGTAGGAACTGGTGTATTGGGGTTCGCAGGAATTCTGGGTTTGGCTGTGTGAGTTATGTAGCTGTTGTGCTTAGTGGAAAATGGATACATTAGGGTAGGGGAGCAAGGGTAAAAGAACTTGAAATGCTGAATATATGAAAGACAGAGGCAAAAGGAAGGACAGAAGGGAGTTATCATCTTCTAGATATCTGAACTGAAAAGGCCTTGGGAAATGTCATGCAGCTAAGGAATGGTGGCAGAAGGGAAAATGAGCCAGGTAAGATGGAAAAGGCAAGGTGTAGAGCCCTGAAGAAAGGCAGATGTGAGCTGAAGCAACTGCTGGAGGAAGAAGGCACCTCTGTCACTCAGCTGGGAGCAAATTCAAGGGGAAGGTAGAAAAAGGAAGGCAATTGCAAGCAAGCATGTCCAGAGGACTGAGTAGCAATTTTTATGGTTTTCAGTAATTTTTCTAGAGCCACACTAGCTGCTGGGGACCTCAGAGCAGCAAATGTGAGTGAATGGCTCAGGACAAGTGACAAGCTGCACTTGTAATTTTTTCATATCTGGGTGGCGTTTGTTTGTTTGTTTGTTTTTTAAACACCTGCCAGATGGTTCTAGTTGAGGAGGATGCCTTCAAAAGAGAGGATTCCCATTATTCCATACAGAAAAACTGAATTGCTAAAGGAGAGTGACACTTTAACTGGTGATAATTGTAGGGTCCTTGCTTGCAGGTGCTGCTTTTCTCTTGATCATTCGTTCAAGTGCAAAGCTTAATGCTTTTGCATGAGGGAAGGAGAGCTTGTTTGGAGCTCTGATTACCACAATATGTCTTACTGTGCACTGGGAATATAGTAGAAATAGTCTCTGAAGGTTTTTATTTGTTGGGAGTGATAGTACCATGAAAGTTTAGTCTTTCCACTCCCATGTCAGTGTTAATTTGTGCATAATTCTAAAAGATCCCAGGATTAATGTACTGGTAATGGATATAGAGTGAATGTGGGATTTGTTTGTCTGCCTTTTAAATAGTTTTTATCTGTTTAATGTTTCTGTTCCTCATTAATTGTGCCTGCTATTAAAATCTACGATACTGAATTTCCTGTTGATGTTATGGATGTACCTGCTTTGTGTGGCTAAGAAACAGAGATGTTAAAAAGCACTTATGTGCTTAGGAGTCCATTAGGTGTATCACAGCTTCCTAAATATATGTGTGCATGCATGCTATAGCCCTTATGGGAATACTTTTCAAGATTCTAATTTTTCTTTAAAATGGTCGCTTTTTCAATAACACAACCAATTGCTTGCAGTCATCTGCTGACTGAAACCTCTGACAGGTATGTTTCCAACAGTAGACAAATAAAGATAACATGTACATCTGTGTCTTGGAGGCTCCTGGCATCTATCAGATAAAATCAGTTCTGGGAGCAGAGGCAGAGAGACAAGTTTCTGTGGCAGCAGCTAAAAGTCTGTTTGTTCTGCATCATCTACTGTGTTGTGAAAATACAGACCTTGTCTTCCAGCCTGTCGTGCTTATTAAATTTTAGCACATCCTTTTCAACGCAGGTGCCTGTGCAAGTTCAGTCATACTCCCTTGCAAACATCATCTTCAGCTAGACAGAAGTTTTGGTGGGGGGCATTGAGTTAACATGAAGAATCTCTGCTCTGTTTAATTTCATCCTTGTCTTTGACACCTTGGGCTGGATTTGAGACTGTCACCTGTCTTGCTTCAGGGAGACTTGTCACCCAAGGGTTTCACTCTCCGCTGTCATTTTCCCTTGTTGCATGTAGCCTTGCTCTGCTTCCCACGCATCCCTGGAAGGCCAAGCACAGCCTGCTTCCCCCACACCTCACACACAGGCAGTGGCAAGTCTTTGTGCTTGCCAACTTGTGTCGGTCTCTTTTCGTCATAGCTTGAGAACATGTTCCTGCCCCCTTTTTTCTTCCTCCTGTCTCCTGCAGCGTCAATGAACCTTTTTTTTGCCCTGTTGCTATGGTTACAGTGCCTTTGATGAAGTCAGCTAGGCTGTCCCTTATGATTGGAGCCAGTTCTTAGCCGTACAGGTCTGGCAGTAGTCCTGTCCAACAACAGTCTTCGCATAAGCATTATGTCCATATTTTTGAGGGTCTTTGTGTGTTTGTTTGTGTCCCAGGAATACTGTTATCTATGTAACAAAAGCTCATAGTCATCTCAAAAATCAAACTCAGCCTTGCAATGTATAAATCTGGCATTCTGATACTTGCTGATTTTTTATTTTGGCAGTCAGTCAAAACTAGCATGTGGTGTTCCCTAGCCACTTTTCCCGTTTTCTTCAGAAATACTATTTTACTGTCTTCTAGATACTCAGATTCCTACAGGAAATTTCAGAGCACTGTATTTGCTTCCTCATGTTTTTAATGAAGGAAATGCAGTTTTAATCTGTCAACTGACAGAGTGCCCAGGACTGTGTTGAGAGGCAGCTGGTGGTGTAAGGAAGGGACACCCTGCTTTTGTAAGCACATGCTAAAGTTTTATGCCTTTATGGCTTATTTTTTCTCATCCAAAAGGTTTCAGGTTGCTGTGGAGGATGCACTCTAGAAGAACTATCTGGGAATACAGGGATGTCAAAAGTTTGGGTGTAACATCTGAATGCTCAGCCAGCCAGGCTGACTTCACATGGGCTTTAGTCATTGAAGGGTCACTTGAGTTGTAGCAAACTATAGGCAGGAAATCTGAAACCAGTGTGCTGACCTAGGACTAACAGCAGTTGACTGATGGGGAATTTTCTTGTCCCTATTTGTTATAGATATAGGGCTTCTGGTCTCAATGTCTGTCTGATCAATCACTGTCCAGAAGACTAGAAGACAGTGCTGTCAATCAAAAGTGTCTCTGTTAGGTTTAATTCTCTTCAGGGATAAATGTGAAAGAGTTTCCTAAAAACCCAAGCAAAAAGATGCACTTCTAGAACCCCTTACATAGCTTAGAGCTCACAGGAAACTTTAACTTTGCCTTTTTGTCAGAGGGTTTAAATCTCAAACCTATTGCATCCCAGCTTTACAGACTTAGAGGAATGTAGATCCGTAACTGAATGTTATGACTTGCTCTGTTTGTAGTGCTTGTTTAGAGAAAAGTATTTTCCGTTGCATTTTATTCAGAAAAGTTTTTACAAAGCAATTTCTAGGCTCTTCCAAGTGAAACAACTGTGTCCAGTTACAGTAAACTGATATTCAGAAATCAGGTATCCTTAAAGGATGAAATATCTTGCTAAAACCTGCGGTTAATTTTTGAAGGAGATAAGATTGTCATGCTTATATGTCAGGGTTTGCACACTGAAAAGTGAATAACAGATACAATCATTGCTAATTTCAGTTGTGAGAATTGCAGCTTCCCCATTTCCATCTTGTATATTTCCAGTTTAATTCCAAATTCTGTATTAAAAGGATGTTCCTCAATAATTCTGTCATGTATCCTTAAGTGATATGCATGTGGTTATTCACAACTATTTCTAGACTTCACTGTGATATTTTTGTTTTCCATTAAGCAAGAGCTTTCGGCTTTAGTGGTTAGATGTTTGGCTTTAAAGGTAGATGAAGCAGGTCTTCATGATACTGAGAAGTATCCTTTCCAAAAGAAATGCCGTCTGAGTAAAGGCCTTTACACTACCCTCAGAGAAAAGAAATAACTGGTTTAGTATTTGTCAGTTTGTACATGTGTTGCCTATGTGATTTTCTGCAAGGTAATACCTTGTTAAACAGACAAGCAATTAGTGATTATTGTAAATCAGGCTGATGTCAATAGAAGCAACATCCTTCAAAGCCCCAGCTGTAGGACTGTCTCCATGGAATTTGATTTCTAATGCAAACTTTTAAGTATTTTCATGATTGTGACTTGTTGCTGCAGTGATCCTGTTCTTGCTCTTTCAGAATGAGAAGGCTTTGGGGCATTCCGTGAGCCGCTCTAGTAACATCTCAAAGGTATGTTGCTTGATGTGACTCAGTCTTTAATAAATTTGGGGATACTGGGATTTCTTTTATTTCAAAATTGAGTGACACATGTGATGATGTGACCAGTAGAAAATGCTTTTTATGCCTGTCATTGATAGTCACTCCTGAAACATTAGAACTCTGGTGTTTTGCAGACTCTCTTTACAGGTCAAACGAAATGGAAGCTACAGTAGGTTTTCTCTTTCACACTGTCAGCTTCCTTAGCTTGATAGGAGCAAGATAGATGACAGATGCCTGAGATCTTATCTTGGAGGGAAAGTGGCTCCAAAAACATTACTTAAGTATGTTGTTTTGTAAGATAAAACACCTTTTGTAAAGACGTTGTGTAAGATATGTATAGCCATGCAACCCATAATATGTGTAGGATATGTGGTTAAATGTTATTCTATTGTTACTTCAACAACAAATTATTTTTAAGTGCCATGAGCTTATTATCAGGACATGACTATGTAAATATTTCTAAGTGTTTGATTTTACAGAGCCTGGTCATGTAAGGCAAGCAGGATGCTCCACCCATTCTAGTCACTCTTCAGCATAACCAGTGGGCACATCCAAAGCATAATTGCTTTGTTATGCCATTAAGAAAAAGGTATCTTCTGTCCAAGATAATTATTGCAATACATTCCCTACATGCAATACATTGGAAATAGGATTTTCTGTTAGCTGTGCTGGTTGAACAGTACTTTTCATGGGGTTTATAAACTTCAACTCTTTGTTGCCACAGTTTTAAGTGGCTGTTTATAGTTACTTTTAAGGAAACACTGAGTCATTATGTCTGCAACATAATAAGTTTTGTGAGTACTTCTGGATCTAGGGAACTGTTCAAGACTATCTCCAAGTGAGACATCAATGTCTCGCAGAGGAGACATTGTCTGCACATAATATATGATTTATATGGGCACAGACAACTTTCACTTTGGAGCCAAAAGACAGGATTACTGGATGTCCTAAACAGTGGGCAAGGCAACTGCCTGGTGCACAAGGTGTTGACCAAGCTCTAAGTGTTGTTATCATGGATTGCATTTGGCATCACAAAATGTTGATTCATATAAGAGGTTTTGGAATAAAAACTGTGTAAGTATAAATAGTCATGTAGGTTTTTCTGAAATGGAACTGTGCTTATGCCTTTTTATCTTAGTTCTTATCTTCTTAGGGATCCTTAATTGGATTTTCAGGTTTTGTTCAACAGAGATAGTAGTTTTGCCATTAAGTGTCATTGTACTTTTCCAGAGTGTCTCAAATCAGCACAAACCTTTTGGCAGCAGCACTTTGGTACCCCTATGAATCTGCACAGTTCATTCTTAGTTCATCAAGAACTGGTAGTGTGGCAGTGCAGTGGGAAGGACCTTGCACTGTGGCAAAGCTCTCCCTGGGACTGCTGGCAAGTGAGACATCAATATTTACATTCATCTTGAAGTGCTGAAACGTTCATCGTGACTGCTGTGTGTTGCAAAAGCTAAAGGTCTCAAGGGGATCACAAGTCAGTCTTACCAGTTTAATGGAGGAGACTTTTTGGTTGCAAAGCGAGCTTTCCAGAGCTGTTGATGTTCTTACTGTTCCTGTGTCACCTCTGCATGATCCATTCTGTGCACCTTCTCCAATCTAGAGATAAGTTCAAACAAGGGTAGAGGGTGAAAGCCTCATCAGTGAAGTCAGCCCCTGATTTGCCTGCCTGTGCATCCAGGCAGTTCAGTGCTAAACTGCAACAATTATTTTATGGTTGACAGGTGTTTTGGCTGTTGCATGCAATTTCAAATGACAAATCATGAAGCATTGTAGTAGAAGCTTAAGTACATGGAAAATTTTTCTTTACTTGAGAGTTTTAATAGGAAAGGGCCCATTTTTTTATTCAGAATACCATAGCAACCTGGCCAATAAGGCAGATTGGGTACACATTTCAAGTATGGAAATGCTTGGTTGCCTGTATATCCCTTTCTGAAATCCACAGGACTTGTTGATCCAACACCATTTTAAGAGCTTTTTAACCAAAATTGGGTTAAATCAATTACATGCTGCATTTCCAGATGTGTTGAAAATGTGTATGTGTGTGTTGTGCAGAAATAATGGTCATGCTTTCTAAAGCATGACTATTTCAGCCATTGTTTTTCCACTCAAATCTAGTTTACAGCACAGCAACATAGCAAATCTGCTACAAATTCTTGGCACTGACACTTGAATCAAAGCCTTACTGGTGCTGCTATGTCATTATGAACCCGCTGTGATTATTACTGTGTATCTTTCCACTGCTCTCAGTTGCACAGTGTAATTTGAGTGGAAAGGTTTGAGTCAGAACTCAGCCTTTAGCCAAGAGAGGATGCTGTGTTACTTATTGTGACCAAGGAAAGCAATGCCCATGGGCTTAAAGTGATCAGGGAGGGAGGCAGACAGATGGTGCTACTGAAAATGTAATCAGCTGGTAGAGGTAGCAGGACCTCTCTGAATGTAGATCCCTGGTGTAGGGGCCAGGTGGAGCTGCCCCTTGGGAGAAAGGGGCAAAAAGGCAATTCTCCAAGAGGCAGATGCTAAGAGAGGCAGAAGAGATGCTAGTACATGTGGCCAAGCCAAGAAAAAGCAATCACCTGAATATTTGGCTAGGGATGAGGCCAGAAAGAGCAGAAAAAGGAGCAGGGACTAAGATGAAGGAGGATCTTCATATGGTGTCATTAGGCTGTGTGCAGTATGTTGCACACTGGGGGTTGTGGCATTCCTCCAGACCCTTCTTTGTTTTTTTAGTAAATATATTTCAAACACTCTTTTTAAATCTGCTACATGTGAAACATGAAAATTTCTGAAATCTTTTGTATTTGTTTTGAAATTTAAAAAAACCCCATTGAATGCAGATTTAATTGATTTAGTCACGGGACTTGAACACAGCCCATTTTTCCCATCTTGCCCTGTTCAGACACATAAACAGCACTGATGCTGATTGAAACAACCCCAGTTGGCACAAGGGAATACAGCCCAGATCCACATCTCAGCTGTTTACCCTAAGCCAGCATTTTTTCCAAGCAGCCACTGATTGCTGTGAAGTGCTGTCATCATTCAAGCCCCCACAGAGAAATAATTAAGCTTTATAGAAGCTTCGTCCTCTAAATATAAAAGAAATTGACCCTAACACACAGCTAGTCACTGGGAGCATCTAAAAGTGGGATTTTCACAGTAGTGGTAATTCATGCCCTCAGTTCATAGATAATGGAATTGTGCTTACAAGCAGATGAAATTAGGTCACTTACCAAGCTGGTCTCTAAATAGTTATTCTCAAATTAGTGGTACTGTTTACCTTTAAAGTATCTGATATATCCTGAAACTGATGGTGTGATGTCAGGTAATACCTTCAGGTCATCTGTGTTCTGTTCCTGTCATCTGATTGCTTTGGAAGGTTGATTCTAATGTAAAGAGGAAGCACTTCCTAGTCTTATTTTCATAGCACTCCAAGGGATAAACTTTGAAAATGCTAACACTGGGATCACAGCAAAGGAATCAAAAGTTAACTCCTTAAAAAATGTAAATGCTTTGTCTTTTCTGAAGGCATGTATAGTTTTATTTTTTGAGCAGAAGCATGCTGTAAAGTATTAGATTATTCTTAGGCTGAATAGCAACTAGCGCAGACACAAAGTGGTAGCCTAAGCTTGCTATGAAATTTAAAATCCATTTAGGCTGTTCATCAGCTTGGAACAGATTTAGAAAAGCATATGAATACACATGTCCACTGTTGCCTGAAGCTTTAATGGATTCACTGAAGATTTGTCTGTAGAAAAGTAGTCCAGGTTTTTCAGTTGCAGAACTTAGGTATCCTGTAGTCCTTCACATGACCAAGGCTTACTGAAAAAACTGTTTCTCACAGGTGTTCTGTTCAGGTATGTGAACCTGGGGGTAGGGAAATAGGAGTTGCTTAAAAAAACTCTTCTACTGAGTTACTGGGGAAGGAAAAGACATGAAAAATTGTATAGTGTGAAGATGAAAGTATACTCTTTCCCCAGGTACAAGAGCAAGTAATCTCATGCTGGAGCACAGTGCAGTCATGTTTGTAAGGAATGTGATAGTCTCCCTGTGCTGTGATAAATTCCCTCTCCTGGGGCTGGATTCTTTCTGCATATAGGTATGAGAGCACCCCATTAAGGAGGAACCTGCAGAGGTTTCCTTTCCTATTTTGTTCCCTCAGTACATTCAAGGTATTTTGAGGAAGATTTTTAAGGACAAAAAGCCATATATACTTTTTTCTTCTCCCTGCAGCACCTGTGCAGTTTTACTGGGTTTAGTCAACATTAATCCTGTGCACTTGGCAGGTTGTATTGTTCTTGGGGAGATTTTGAAGGGATAGATAGCCTCCTTTCTTTAGTTCTGGAATCTCTAGAGAAAAGCTCCTGACACAATCCTCCTTTAGATTTCTTTAGAAATAAGAGAAAGCTGACTTCAGCTTTGCTTCTAGTTGCTAGACATAGTTTTAATTATAGTCATATACATTCTATAAAGTATGGAAGAAAGTTCTTCTACCAGCTGACTGCTGGTTCTTATCAAATTGTTGCCAAAATTACCTGGTGGAGTTGATTGCCCTGACATTTTCAGATGCCTCTAAGGGTACAGACGTCAAAAAATTGGTGAGTTAATTTTAATAATTAACCCTCTCTAAAGACCCTTGATTTTAATATGCTCTGGAAGTCAATATGGCATGAATCTGGTAGGAAGAACTTACTGGAGAAGATCAGAAGTTGCTGATGGTTGGTCCTGCCATGCTGGTACAAAAGCTTTCAAACCAGCCTGTCAGCAGGGCTGTCTGCCCGTCACATCCCCCAGTCTGTCCATAGGTGGCCTGTTCTGCCCATCTCAGGTGTCAGGTTTGTCCACTTTGGTCTCATTGCACTGCCTTGGTGTGCTGGCACTGCTGGAGGCCTCCTTTGGCATCTGCTGCACAGATGAACTTCAGAGGCTGTGGAACTGCAGTGCGCTTCAGCAGGAGCCGTCAGCCGGCGTGTACATGGAACACTGTGCTTGCTGAAAGCACTCAAGAGTGCATAAAATAAAGGCAAGCCCGTAATCAAAATGCCAGGTTGAAATTTGGGTTGTGGAGTGTTTCGCTCCTTGCTCTATTGCTAAATTTGTATTTGCCTAAAGCTCCTTGTTCTGAAGTTCCTCCTAATAAAAGAGTTAAAATTGCGCTTCTTTTCACTCTTTGTCTGCACAAAAGAGAGTTGTGTTCTATTATTAAATGTGCATAGTTCTTTGTATGTTTGTTCCAGATCCTTAGCTGAAATTTCTAGATGTTTTTGTAGCACAAGTAGTAGGGCCACAGTATTATTCCTAATCATGTGGCACCTAGAAATGACAAAGTTTGCATGTGGGAGGGGAAAACTTTGATTTCTTTAGACTTCCAATTAGTTGAAAAATTCTACAGGAGTTGTTTCTAATTTTTTACCTTCAATTAATAATTTAATCAAGTTTTTAGGATGTGACAGGCCCTGTTCTTTAAAATGAGATGTAATTGCTGTTACTGAAGTGCAGCCCAGAGACAACAGCAACTATACACAGAAGTGTCATCTCAGATAAGCAGGATATCTTGAAATATACCTGAGCCATTGGCATGTTTGCTATGGCTCACTTCAAAGATGCCTTTATTTTCTTAGGCAGGGTGGGGTTTTTGGGTTTTGGTGTGTAGCATGTAATCAAAGGTATGTAATGAGAAAAGGCTGAGTTATCTTACCAATAGATAACACTGTTCACATGGGGGCAGAATGAGAACATATATGTTTATATATGTATGGACACCTGCATATATGTGTATTAAAAATGTATATGCTCCTGCTGGCAACTCTTCAGAGAACTGCAGGAATCCCAGGAATTGTTACCTTCAAAATTGCTGTGATTGTTGGAGTACCAGTGCAGAAGGCCGTGCTGTGACCTCAGTGAATTGCATTAGATAGCAATGTCAATATACACAATTAACTAACTATTGACCTTTAGTACTGAGCTATTTTAGGCAACCAGTCAGGCTGTACAGAGTAACTCACAAGCACATGGCTCCAAGGCTTGTCACTGGAGGTGATGTTCCTCCATGTGAAGGGCATGGCAGTCCACAGAGTTTCAGCAAGTGATTATGGGGTTAGAATGGTCAAATTCAGGCTGTCAAGGCTTAGGCGACATGTCAAATATGAACATGGCAGAAACCTCCTATGAGAAGGAGTGCTCTAAACCCAACTGCTGCTATTGCCATTATAAATATCCAGTTTGGCCAAAGGTGCTGCTGCCTGGGAGGCTGCTGCTGGGGCAGTAAGGGTGGTGTGTACCAGAAGCTACAGAGTGGGGAAGCCTTTGACTGCCTATTTTCCCAGCCTCTTCAGAGCTGAGCCGTGTGTGGGAGCAGCATCAGAGCTCCAAGATAGCTGGACCCGCCTGTTTCATTCACCCATCACCGCCTCTTCACCGTGTTCTGTCCCGAGGCTGCCTGTATTTCTTCTTTTCTGTGGCACCTCTGCCTGAAAGCTGCTGTGTGTGAGTCAGTAGACCCAGGTGAGCTGGGAGGACTGGCCAGCAGCAGTGATGTGTAACCCTGCTTCTAGGTGTGGCAGAACTTGGTACTTAGGCTTTGGGCAGCAGCTTGCATTTTACTGCTCTCTTGTCAGGGAGTTGTGCTTCACTGTCAGAGACTCATTGCTGTCACTGACTGGTGTTCCTAGGGAAGTGACTGGCATTAAAGCCATGGCTCGTTTTACCTCACCTCACTATCCTACTCTGAGTTGCAGTGCACCTCTGGAAGTTTCATGAGCAAAAAGCATGGGAGGAAAGGAGGACAGACTGAGTGACTGGGGTCTCATTGAACCATAGCTTTTGGTGGTAGCCACAGCTTGTTTGAACCAAGGGTGGGGCATAACTTCCTCCAGTGATTTGTTGTTCCTTTTTGTGGTGCCTATCCAAGTGTGTTAATTTCTGTTCATAGTTTGGTTGCACTTTCATTATGCATGAAAATAGAGAAAAGTATCTTTTGTTCTGAAGTAGAAAGATGGGGGGAAAGGAAATGTGCCTCAGATGCTGAGTTTCTGTAAGCCATTTTGAACAGTACTGGCAGCTAGAAACAGAATACTAAGCTTGAAATGCAAATGAAATTCCACAATTTCTTTTTTGTCCCAGCCTTTTGATTTCCCAAGTGGCAAGACTTTTAACACTCTTGGTACCAGACGATTTGATCAAGAAACCAGTAACATGGTTCTGGAAGGGAAATTTTGGATCATTGATTCTAGTCATCTTCTATTAGACTGTCACATCATACATTCTGCTGTCCTTTTTTAGAAAAGTTCATTGCTAAACTGAAGCAGCTGAGAGATTGGATTCATTCTTTGCAGGTTACCTTCTGTGATTTGCTCATAACATAAAACCTGAGACAGATTTATTAATTGATTTGTGACTTCACTTCCAACAATGTGCACCTCTGTCTCCATGGCAGAATGCAACTTGCTGTTTTACTGGTTTAATAATTTGTTTTTACAAGATTGCTCAATATGTCTTTTTAACTATTTCATTATTTTAGTTTTGTTAATTTGCAGAGTGAAACAGTTTATCGGTAAATTAGTGTCAGTTCTTTCATAAATTGTCAGACTTTGAGTTAAAACAAAGTTACTGCAGAAACCCTTATAAAAGATAGGATATTAAGTCAGGTGTACCTGCTTTTAGGAGACATTAAGCATCAATGAGAGAAGAAATTTCCATCAAGTACCTGAATTCACATCACTGCATGGTCAGAATCCTGTGTCATTAACATGTGCAAGTGGTGTAAAATGTAAAGAACTATAGTTTCCTGGATAAAACCAGTAATTGGTTTTTGTCTTTAATTTGTTTTGTCATAGTCATTACATAGCTCAGTTTGCTTTCTGGCCCAAGGTTATTCTATTGGGTTTTATTCTATATATGTACCCAGCTTTGGGTAAGATGGGAAGTAAATTACAGTGTCTTACTAAGGGTTAAGAGCTGTGTGTCTGAGTCTTGGCTGAGTCTTGCCTTTGATTCCTGCAGACCCAGCAGTAAATGGATACCTGTTTTTTCAGTGTCTGTGCACCTGAGGTCTCCTAATACGAGGGCAGATACATTGCTGTCTATAGTGATGTTGACTAGAGAAATAAAACCTGAAAAGATGAGTTCTGTGACAAGGAAGGTGATTGTTTTATCTGCATTTATAAAGTAGCATGGTTATGTATCTTCTCTCACAAAGAAATAGAGAGTATAACGTGTGACAAGGAACCCTGGCTTGGTATGGCAGTATAAAAGCCTGTGGCAGCCTTGTTTAAATATACAATAGGGTCTTTAATAAATTAAGTATAGAATTGACAAGTTCCAAGACAGATACAGTGTGTGTTGCAGCATGATCAAAGCAGTGATAACTGCTGGTGTCTGAAGCTGAAGCACAGGGCTGGGCACAGCATGCTTCATGCTTTTGTCACCTGAGGTCTCCCTGGTCTGGCTGTCTGCAATTGCCTGACCCAGGTCTCTGCTGGCAGTGCTGGTTTCTGTGCAGCTCAGTGTGGAGATGACATTTCTGTTGTTCTGCTGACTGCATTGCTCTTTCCTGGGTTTCAGGCTTTGCTGTGCAGATCAAAAGAGCTGTAAAGCTTTGTTTGAATTTCGAAGTGCAAACAGTGTTTTGCAGCAGTGGGTGAGCAGTGCAGCCTGTCCAGCAGATGTGGAACATGGGAGACCCAGGTTTAAACATTCTCTGTTACGAGGTTATTAATGGCAGTCTCCTCCCCACAAAAATCTCCAGGAAGAGTTGAGAAGTTTGTCAAAGTGATGTGCAGGGTTCAGCAGCAGAAAAGGTCTTTAATAACAGCCAGTGGAGTGACAGCTGAGACAATGCTCATTCTTAGCACACTGAGTTCAGATTTGTCTATTAAGTGTTAAATATGCCAAGAGCTTAACTTTATGTTTTTGAGTTAGTTCAGCTAATTCTTAATTCTTCAGTGATTCTGTTTCTCACTGTGCTCTTGTTGCAACTTACAAATATGACTACTGCCACACCTTTTCTCCAGTATGGATCTTCCAGGATGGAAGATTCTGTTCAAGTAGGAGCAGGACGAAAGGCCTCAAAAAGTACACTAAGTACTTCAGGGAATGGTCTGGGTTGGCAGATGGTGCTCATGTGCTAGTAAGGAATATAAGTCCTCAGGTTGTGTTTGACTTACTGAGTTACTGCTGGTTCTGTTCTGTGAAGAAAACCCCAAGCCTCTAATCTCTTGCCATCATTGTTGGAAGAAGGATTAGCTATTACATGGTAGCTAAATTACAACTAGTTTATACACACGCTTCCCTCTAATTATTCTAATTACTGTAGCATTGCTCATTTCCTGAGCTATTGTTCTGTGCAATGTTTGACAGCTGGCAGGTTCCACTCCAGAGATGCCTGCAGTTGACCTTGGGGTAAAACATTTCTGTTCTGATAACTACTTCTCCAGGGATGAAACTCCGTGACCTTTCTTGCATTTAACAGTAAAGTCACTTTCTTACAACTAGCCCTTGAGTATCTGCTGTAGAGTGATATCTGACTCCATATGCTGTGTTTCACCCTGAAGGTGATTGCTCTGCATACTGACTCCTGACTTGAGGATGTTTTTGTTTGTTTGTTTTAATTTCACTGCAGGCTGGAAGTCCAACCTCTGTCTCTGCCCCTCATAGCTTCTCTCGGACTTCTGTTACGCCATCCAACCAGGACATCTGCAGGTAAAGTGTGCCATTTGCGTGGCTGCAGTGAGGCTCAGACAAGGTTCAAATTAAGGAAAAGCAAAACTGAAAAAGCATGTTTATGGGGAAGTAGGAGATGTGGGGTTCCCACTTGAAGCATCCCATTTGTTTGACTCGACTGCTGTCTAACACTGCTTTGTTAAATCCTACTGACTGTTTGGCCCTGCTATGTTTGCCATTCCCACACTAGCTGTAATTCTCATTTCTTCACTTTTAATTATACATGTTCTCTTTTTTAATTTTTTTTTTTTTTTACTTTCTGTGCTTTTATTCCACTATTCTGCATGCAGTTCCAGTGCAGTGTTTTCTGAGTGTTGTCATCACAGTCCAGTGCAGTCTGCTGTTGTCTTGAAAAATCCGCACTGCCCGAGCCCTCTGACACAAGGGGTCACTGTGACAGTAATCTGTCAGGACACGTTACATGCAGCAAAGAGAAACTCCCGTGGGCAGGATCGGGGCCAGGCACTCAGGTCTGCAAAGAATGTAAAGCCCAGCCGCACCCTGAAATTCTCCAAGTCCCTCAATGACGTGGACCAGAAGGCGCAGAGCACCAGCGAGTGCTTTGATTATGTGGAGCGAACACGCTCAGAAGGCAAACTGACCCTGAATCAAGAGCAGTGTTTAAGGATTAACAAATTTCATCTTAAAGAGAGGAAACCGCTGAATCTCAGGCCTCTTTCTTTTAGCAATTCTAAGCACTCCTATATCCCTTCCCTTTCCAACTACTCAAGTGCATCGGGAGGAGCAGAGAACCACAGCGCTGTACATATCCCCCTGCTGGAGGACAAGGTGGACCATGACTCCTCAAGGAGCAAAAAACTGTTGCGTTACCTTTTTTCCTTCTCCCACACCTCCAGCATCAGCAGCCTGCATAAATTTCACGAACTGGAGAGCTATTCCAGTCACTTCCAAGCTGACAAATCCTCCAGCATGCTGGTGGAAAGCACAGACTTCTGCTCTGATGATATGGGAGATGATGACGTCTTTGAGGACAGCACCTCAGTGAAACTCAAACCAAAAGAGCAGCGGGCACCACTCTGTTCAATTGAGAAGGACAGTGACCTTGACTGCCCTTCCCCCCTCTCAGAAAAGTTACCCCCTCTGTCCCCTGTGTCCACATCGGGGGATACCTGCAGGTTGGTTTACCAGAGAACCACCTACCTTTTTAACCCTCCCATGTGCAGTGGTGACTGTTCTGCTTTTCCCTGCCTTTGTGCTGATTCTGTCTCTTCTTTTACCTTGCTAATGCAGTATGTATGTTTTGGAGCATGCAGCCTTCTCTCTGCCATCCTACACCCCTGTGATGCACTTAACAAGGCTACTAAGCAAAATAACTTCCTTTGGAGTCAAATAAATTCTCCTAAAATTTATTTCAGGTTTGGGGTTCTGAGATATTTTATCAGTGCCCAAACTGAGAATACTATGAGAGACACAGCTACGCATCATAAAGGTCAAGCTGAACATGTCTTAGTTTTTAATAAGCTAAGTGTGTTGTCCTGACAGCACTGCTAGTTTGGTCAGAGTGGGGGGGATCAGGAGGAAAACAGACTGCCTGAAAATTGCTTGTGAGATCAGATCAATATAGCTTTAGATTTTTTTTTCCCCTCTCAGTTTGTATCCCACCACACTTTTTTATTTGTTACAGGCTTCCTGGTTGTCTTGGTTAAAGGATATCTGAGCGCTGGCTGTTAGTGGTAGGCCTGTGTGATGTCCATAGTGTGAGGTTCAAAAATTATGGATGTCCTTATTCCAGCTACAGAGAATTAATCATGTTCCCAGGTGTCAGGAACAAGAAGATCTGGACTGTCTTCACGGTGACTTGTCTACTGGTCTGCCCTGTCCCACATCAGAAATGTGCTTGAGGAGCAAGAGTCATCAAGTTCAGGAGCAAATGTTTAATCCTTCTACCTAGCATTTTATTATCCTAGTCTTTCGCCTCCCTGACAGCACTTCCTAAAGCTGCCTTTGTTATTACTTCCCAATATTATTTTATTTCCCCCCTCATTACTACCATATCTAGTTCTGTATTGGCTTACCATGAAGATGCTGTTGTAATCCACCCACGCCTTCATTTCCACTTGCCAGCTATCAGCAAGGTCACAAGAGGCAAGATGCTACACATCAGTACGAGATTTCAGTAATAGACAGGGATGGCAGCAGGCCAGAATGTACTTCACATTTGCTTGGTAACTTGTATTCATTCCCTGAGCTCCTCACCATCCCCCTTTCAATTCATGACCTCTTCCACATGGTTAGAAGAACTTCACAATGCTTGATGCTACCTAGGGGCTGGGTATAAATTGAATCTGGAAATCAAATGTCAGCAGCTGGTAGTAATTCTTTATCAGATGTCTTTGCTGTTTGCACAGTTAGGCTGTGAGAAAAATAGGGAATTTTGCAGAGCTGATGCTTCCTTAGCAACACTTGCTAAGTCAGATTTGGAGAAGCAAAACCATTTAGAGTGTTTTGGGGTTCTGATTCAGTGCTGTAGTTTTGCATTGTGAATCTGTCTCTTAGGAATTTGCATTGGAATTAATCACTTGTGTAAAATCCAGGCTGTCTAAATTCAGGATCCTGGGGTGGACTGTTTCACCACTGGTATTGGAATTTTGTTTTATCTTCTATTTCAGACCATAGTACATGAGTAGCTGTACCTCTCTGTGCATATTTTGTCTTGGGAAGTGCTGTCTGATCTGTTTAAATGCTATTTGCAGTTAAGTGCTATTGGTCTGGGTGAAACGTTGTCATTTCTTGATCCATTTTTTCTTTCAGGTACTGCATTTCTGTCAGGCTCTATATGTGTGCATCATCTGTGAGAAAGTTATCTCTGTCTGTGCTTAATTATTTTGTGCCTGTGTATGTACTTGTGCAGCAATTGAGTTGTTTAGTTTTAGCTCCTTTGTGGAACACATTCCTTTGATTTATATGTCTCGGAATCCTCAGTGAACATCCATGTGTGATCACAGATATTACATGGCTCTTCCACATCCTTTCTGCTTCCGCTTCCCCTAATGAGCAGCTTTGCTTCTGATTCAGGATATGTCACTGTGAAGGAGATGATGAGAGCCCTTTGATTACCCCCTGTCACTGCACGGGAAGTCTTCACTTTGTGCACCAGGCCTGCCTGCAGCAATGGATCAAGAGCTCGGATACGCGATGCTGTGAGCTGTGCAAGTATGAGTTCATCATGGAGACAAAACTGAAGCCTTTGAGAAAGGTAGGCACAGGACCTGCTTCCCCCAGAGCATGCTTTGTTAAACAGAGATCCACTCTGGAACAGGCTGTGCCCATGAGCCTGGAGCACCCACCATGTATTTATTAATGGTTTTGTGCCTCCTTAGTAAGTCTGGACAGTCTTGTATAGGTACGAAAGAATTTGAATTAATACCCTGGCAAATTCAACATCACAGGAATCCAGCTCTGATAAGAGCTGTTACAGCCCAGCAGCTTTCTGTGTGTGTGTGTGAATATATATATATATATATATCCATGCAACAATCTGATTTTTTTCTTTAGATTTTACAGCACAAAACTCTACAGTTACCAGTATTTTTTTTAATGGGGAGCTTTGTATTACCGTTAGCTGCTTTAGTTTGTGGCTCTAAGATCCACATGGCTTTTAAGTTCTCTTCAAAATATGAGGATTTTACATTAAATTTACTTTAAATCACACTTCTTGGATGTGATTTAGTTAAAATTTGTAGCTTTCCTTTTCTCTTTAAAGGATCAGACTTAGTGAAAATAATACGTTGTAAGTAGAAGATGGTTCCCTGTTAAATGTGGTTTAATTTTTACCTTTTCTTAGGCTGGGAATGACTAGAACCTGTATTTTTGTTTAATAGATAAGTATCTTTCATAAATCTGGTGACTTAAAGTATAGGTGCTTCTATCCTCATTTTGTTCTCCCACATCCTCCAAGCTTTCAGTTGTCCTGACATCAGGATTTTGAGATGAAAGTCACTGGTATTCTTAGCACAGACAAATCTTGCCGTATCTACCAAAGTGGATGAGGTTAATAATGATAACCTCAGTCTGGAACTAGAATAAATGAAAAACATTAAATTCAGTTATGATGAGCCTAAATCATGTAGGATGAGAAGTTTGGAATGTAGCTGTCCAAAAACTGTTATGAGAACTTATCCAAATCCTAGAAGTGACTTCTGACAGAAAATAGAGCAGATTTCAAAGACTTCTTATTTTTTCAGAGAGATGTACTCTCTGCAAAGTGTAGAGCTTAGCATGTCCAGTGGACAGTCTCTTTCTTATGACTGTGGTGGAGCATTGCCTTCTAAAAATGCAGATTTTAGCTTTGTACCCCCTTGGCAGAGAGTGTAGTTGTTTCTGAGCTGCAGAATTGGTCATCATAAGCCTTGTTGTCTGCACAGGCAATACTTTGCACATAGGACAGGAAAGAAATTACTCTGGAGAATCCAAAGAAGAGTTGTAGTTGTCAGTTGACTGCTGGCTTTTTTCTGTGCTCACTCTGCCTGAAGTGGGTGGTGAACATTTTCTGAATATTTGTGCCCTGTGGGGGAAAAAGAAAGTTGTGCACCTTCAGAAATGAGTCACTCAACATCATTAGTTATATCTGAACAGGTCATCTGTGGGAAGCAGACAAGTTGCCAGAAGGTAGGGATGGAGCCATAAATAGAAGGATTTTGCCTCTCAAATACATAAAAAGAGTCCTTTTAGAAGTTCAGCTGCAGCAACAAAATAAGATGCCTCTGTATCTTCAACTCAGCCCTTATGGTAGCCTTTAAGTCGGGAGAAAATATCCTGGAACTGGTGAGTATGATCAGGATGAGACAAATAATAGGGCATCTCCTTGTCTTGTAGGGCAGAAATGGAATTAAACTTCCATGGCATCTTAAGGTTGTATTGCAGCATTGGGCTGTTCAAACGCTAATTTACTAAGGGAAGAGAGTGAGAACAAAATGTGTCATGGCTCAAATGAAGATAAGGGCAGACAAGAGAGAGATTTGAGAATTTCAGTGAAAAAAACCAGACATTAAATCTAAATTTTCTCCTGTGCTTTTTTTTTGTTGTTGTTTCTTTTAACAATACTTGAAAAGTCCAGAACTGCTGACTGTTTTAAGTGGGAAATGTCACATGCTGTGTCATCAGAATAATACAGCAGGGACCTACAGATTTGAGTCTCCTCTCTGGGCTAGTGTGCGATTTGCAGAATATTTTCTGTTTTGCTTTTCAGTCATCTCTCTTGAAGCAGTGAGGTGGTGCAAGCTGGTTTTGTAACTGTGGAGCCAGCAGTTCACAGGAGGTATTGTCCAGCAGAGGAGCCCAGGCTGTGGAACAGAAAAGAGAACTGTAAATTAGTTAAAGCACAGGTCCTTCTGGCTCTGTAAAAGCATTTGCAAATAGATTTAACATGGTTGCCTTTTAGCAAAATAATTTGATTAATTTGTACTTTCTATCAAAAGGCAACACCTTTTTATAGAAGCAAAAGCAATTTTCTATTTAAAATACAACATGCAAAGGGATGTCTTGTCCAATGTTTTTTCTAAAATGATTGAAAAATACAGCTTTTTAGTACAAGAAGCCTAGCATGTCATTCCTGGAAGTACTCAATTATTTTGCCATGTTGAGGTTTGGATGCCCACATAACTAGAAATGTGGCTTGGGCTGACAAAGAGTCTGTTGGCAGCACAGAGATGATCACAAAGTCTGTGTATCATGTTTCAACCATTCTCATTTTTGTGGCAGTGGAAGCAATAATTCAACATAATGAATGATTTCAAGCATACACATGCTGTGACCAAAGTAATGATGCCATCTGACTTTTAGAATCCTTGTTAGAAGGAAACTGGTCTCCTGCCTGGTTTTTGTTCTTTTCAATATTCTCTTTTCATACTGTCTAGTAACTACAATAAACTCCTAATCTCTTGCTCTGGTTCCTGGTTTCTTGCCAGTGGGAGAAGCTGCAGATGACAGCCAGCGAGAGGAGGAAGATCATGTGCTCTGTAACATTCCATATCATTGCCATCACCTGCGTTGTGTGGTCTCTCTATGTCCTCATAGACAGGACTGCTGAGGAGATTAAACAGGGACAAACTACTGGTATGTTGCTTGCTTATCTTCCCACTTATTCTCTTGGAATAATTCTTTATCCTGATTGCAGAGAGGATGTGGAACATGAGTGTTAAACTCGTCAGCTTTACCCTGGTGTTGGGTTGGTTTAAAAGCACAGTTCAAAAATTATTTAGTTAAATCAGTAAATTAACCAGTGAATTAATCTGTGGGTACTTTTTAAATCTATTTCAGGTCAATTTAGTTTGCAGTTGTGAAATGCGTGGTTCTGAGAGCTAATCCACTGTAGCCAGATGCAAAGTTGCACTGTCTCAGCAAATTTAGGTCTAAATTTGCAGATAAGGATATAAGCATTTGTTTGCTGCTATGACTACCTTTAAAGTGGGCATAACGGGAACTTTTTAGAAAGAGAAGAAGTAAGAGGAACCTAAATTCAAGTCTTTGAGGTAAATCCAACAGGGTTTTCTTTCCATTCAGTCATCTGTGCGGTGGGTTAGTCATCAGTGAGAGCCATGTTAGGCTGGGAAAAGGTTTATGAGTGATTGCACTTGAAGCAGAAGAAATTCACGTTGAATATTAGGACTCCAATTTGCACAGCTGAGATAAGATGCTTACAATCTTATCAAGGGCTGCACCCTCAGTGCACAGGTACCTTAGCTTCTTGAATAGAAGGTTTTCTTCAGTATGTCAGCAGTAAAAGTACCAAGCTGAAATGTGTCTACACAGGTATGCTAGGCTGTGGATTTGCAGCTGTCACAAAACTGTTCCTCAGGCAGCTGAGCTGAAGATGGGGTAGAATGGATGGAAGCTGTTAGAAGGCAAGCTGTCCTTGCTTGCAGACCACTGCGTGCCAACTAGACATGCAGGTGGAAAATGTTTTGCTGGTGATGGAACAGTGTCCTTCAGGGAGGTGGTTGAGCATTGATAAACCTGTAAATCCACAGAGCTGTTACAGTCTCTTCAGAGGAGAATCACTTGAAATTAAAAAGTTATCCTCTCGTTTCTCATTTAGGCTATAGCTGCATTGTTCACTACTTCAGTCAGGAAGCTGCTTTCAGTGAAATCTCTTAGTTTCTGTTCCATCCAACCCCATTTTTTTCATGAACAGTGAACATTATTGGCCTTTCAAAAGTGTAAGGTTTCCATATGATAATGAAAAGGATATGTTTTCACAACGTTATCGTCTCCAAGTTATTTTTTCCTGGAAATATACTAGATTAACATAACTAGGAGGAATGATGTGAATATTTGGTACGTATTATAGTGCTTTTTTTCCTCCTTTCATTTGGATTCTAAATCCTGGGAATGCTGTAATGAGGTGGGTGATGCAGGAAGTGTGTGTGGATATATATTCATGTCCACACAGGGGCAAGCATGTACTGTCTACAGACAGCATCAGACAGCTCACCTTTGAGTCAGAGGGTCAGATATGAATCACAGGTGGGATTTCATCAGCAGTAGGGCTGCAATGCCCTTTGTATTTTGGGACTAAAATATTTTAATTCCTCCCTCACTGCCATGCCTTTCCAAAACCACACCAAGCCTGTGTCTTGGTTAAAACTTTGAAGAGTTGGAAAGACACAATTTTATTCTCTGAAAAACCTGATAATGGTTGATTCAGCATAGTTTCATATCCATCTTGTGATGGCACTTACTTTAAAGAGGCTGGATGAATACAGGACCTATGTAAGCAGAATATGTATAAATAGAATAGTTTTTAATTTAAAAGTCATTGATAGAAATGTAACAAGATCCACTGTCTAAATGCTGAAGCTAGACAAATTTAGGCAAAAAAGTGATGGTGGTAGTTTTTAAGGACAGAGGGTAAGCTTGGAATGCTCCAGCCTCTCCAGCACTTGCAGTTTTGTATCAGAGGAGATGCTCTTGTTCAGGTACAAGTTACTGAGTGTGAGGAAGATAAAATTTTCCTTGTCCGCATAACAAATGTGTCAAATTATATGGTAACAATCATTCCTTTATGTCTCCATGTGTTGTGTGATCACAGAGTAGAACAGACTTGTTGGGTCACTGAGTTGAGTCTCTGCTATGAAGAGGAAGCCATGCCATAGAATCCCTTTCATAATTTGATCCAGTCTTTGTTTAAAAACAGGTGTAAAAGGACCTAAGCATATTACTGGTGGTTGCCTTGACTCTGTGACTGTGCTGCATCAAGGCTCAGACACAGAAAATCAGTTGTTTTGGTTTTTTTCTCTGGTGGGGAAGAATACGATACGTGAAGCAGAAGTCTGTGTGTTTGACTCAAAAAGGAAAAGCCAGACAGGAAAAATTGCAAAATAAGAATAGCTGGCATGACCCAAAGTCTGTGGCAGTTTCCTTAGAGTACATTTTTAAAAGATCCAGTTTAGTCCAGATTAAGAAAGTTTGGCCGTAGTAAATTAAACTACTTACATAAAGTTTGGAAACCCAACAAGACCTCTATATAAAAATACCCTCCTGGAGAGGTGGTAGGATGATTTCCAGGGCCTGCTGTTTGACTGGCAGTTTCTGAGATTAATTTAATTCTTCTTTTTATTTTTTTACTTCCAGGTATTCTAGAGTGGCCATTTTGGACTAAGCTGGTAGTTGTGGCTATTGGTTTCACTGGAGGACTTCTATTCATGTATGTACAATGCAAGGTGTACGTACAGCTGTGGAAGAGACTTAAAGCTTATAACCGAGTAATATATGTACAAAACTGTCCGGAAACTAGCAAAAAGAATATTTTTGAAAAACCTGCACTAATGGAGCCAAACTTCGAAAGTAAAGAAATGTTTGGGGTTCACCATTCAGACACAAACTCTTCACATTACACAGAGCCAGAAGACTGTGCTGCGGAAATCCTTCACGTCTGATTGCTAGGTGGAAGGGGTATTTCCCCATGTCCTTGAAGATTTGAATATCATTGTTTACTGCAAACTGCTCTACCTTTTTAACATCAGCAAACAGCTGAGGGCTGGCGGATGAATTTTTTACATTTGTTTTCTTTGTTGGAATTTTTTTAAATCCCTTAGGCATATCTGTCAATGTCATTGTGGTTGCATACCTCTCAACATTTTGTGTCTCATACTGGCTGATCAAAGAGCCACAGGATATTGGGTAGAATGAGCCTTGGGTTTGGTATTAAGGAAGCCGCTAGCGAGCTGTCACCAACTTCGTGGAGTCTGTTACTTTAGAACATGATTCTTAAGTAATTCTGGAGGATGTGTAGTGTGGGGTTGGTTGGTTGGTCTGTTCTTTATGTGTGATGAAGGAGGTTGTCCCAGACAGTGAGAGAAATGAGAGGGAGTCTAATCTACCACTAACACTGCCACTAACATTGTGTCTCAAACAGCAGGTGTAAAATTTTGCTTTACATATTGCAATGAGACTTACAAAGCATATAGCACTTTTAAAAATCTTTATTTTGTGATATATATGTCAAATGAGAATGAAACTTGAAAGAATGTGTCATTTTTGAAACATTTCTTAATTCTTTACCCCATCTATTCTTCTGAAACATAAACCTCTTGCCTTATAAAAAAAAATTTAAATTTCAGCCTGTGATTTCCCACACACGCCCACATTATCTTACTAAACGTAACACTAAAAATTCTGTCTCTTTGGGTTTCCCTTGAGGAGCAATTTTCTTCAAAGGATATTGCACTTGTGACTTGTGTATGAGGAGTAGTGGGTGTGTACAATGTTTGTTTTCAGTGGTTTCAGTGTTCTGTTTTGGGGATTGGTTTTGATTTTTTTCCCTGACAGGTCAGACCATCAACACACCTGTGCATATACACCTGATGTAGTTTTCATTCCAAACCATTGGCAAAGGGTTTGTTGCTATATTGATAAAAATGTGAGCTGTTACAGAAAAAAGGAAACTTAGTTAATACAGCTGAAACTGGTTTTCTTTCTTTAGTGCTGTGTCGTGTGTGAAATACCCAAGAATTTGATGTTGGCAGAGGAGATGCTGACATACAAGTCTAGGAAGTAAATATCACATTAAGTGGATAAATTTAAAAATACCTGCTTGATGTGATGCACTGTGTGGTCAGAGAATAGTATATATCTGTGCTTTTGGATTTGGGACTGGCTTTTTAATCAGTCAGCATTCATGCAAAGAGAGGGACAGCTTTAAAATCTGTTTGCAAGGCTTTTAGTTGCCCAAAGCCTGGGGTGTCTGCAGTTGATTTGTTTGTCCAGTCTGTTTCACTGCACCACTGTCCAGCTTTAAGCCCTCATTTAACCAAAGTCTCAGCGTGATTAGAGCAGAAACGAAGCCCTATGAAAAGTCAGCACATGAGGCCTCTGCATTTGAAAGCTGACTTTCCCTACCTGAGCCTGTCTAAATCTCTGTCAAGTCAATGATGATAATATGGCTGGTCTTAGTATGAGTTGCCTGGACTTCTCAGGTAAAAGTTTCTGTTTACTTGTTGAGATAGTGAACTAAATTCTTAGCTCTAGTTCAAGTTTCACTTAGTGTTTTTGAAGTACAACTTTGGGTACATTCTTTTCATAGTAAAAGCAGCTGCTTTAAGACTTCTTAATATAACAGTAAGAGATCAGGGATTTTTTCCTTAAAATGTAATATTAATTTATTTCTAAATCAATATTTTAATAGAAGGCAGAGAAGGGACTCTGGTAAGAGAACACTCATCCCAATGGTTTCTAGAAGATGTTAGAGGAAAAGCACATGTGCCTCTGTCACTTCATGCTTGAAGCTGTCTGTGATCTTCATGAACAACATGGTACCTTGTTCTTGAGATGTGTTAAAACATCCAGACCTCTGGGCAGTCCTGGTAAACTGCACTGACATGGATTTGTGTACTGTACTAGCTGTCAGGATGTCCTGTGCTTAAGTGATACAGGCAGACAAACCCTGCATACCCTGCTAGTATTGGGGCAGTCTTTGTGACCATACACATGCAGAGTTTTTTGCCTGTGCCTGTCATAATTCAAAGTGCAATTACTCAAGACCTTTCCTGAGCTCTGCTGTGGATCATCCTCTTCTATTTTGAGAACCCAGATAATACACTGTCTCATTTTGTTTTCTGTATTGTTCTGTGAAAGATTCACTAGATAAACTCAGGTGGGTTAAGTATCAAGTCTTGCACACCTTCATGATGTCCTTCTGAAATGGGCAAGTGCACAGGCTGCCTGTCTGTGAGATGCTCACCTTACAGCTGCGAGATGCACAGGGCCAGCTGCCGAGCGATGCCGTGCGCGCGCTCTTCCCGTCTGCGGCCCGCGGGTGAAGTGAAGATGGACGAGTCCTGGTGTGAAACCCGGCTGTTCCCCAGCTCACCTGAGCAGCTCTGGCACGAGCAATGTTCTGACATGGCCAATACAGCGAAGATGGACGAGTCCTGGTGTGAAACCTGGCTGTTCCCCAGCTCACCTGAGCAGCTGTGGCGTGAGCAATATTCTGATATGGCCAATACAGCACACCACAACTTGCTGGTTCTGCTTCAGTCACTGTTGTACAGGGTTCTAAGGTGAAACATTGCAAAATCTCATTCGGTGTTTTGGAAGCTGCATGTGGAATGTGCCAGGTATTGTGGAGTAGTCAGGGTACTGAAGGTTTTTGCTGTGCCCCTGAGTATCTTAACTTGTAAAGAAAAATCATCTCCAGCAAAATCACTTGGGGAAAAATACTTGTGAATGAAAATGTTTAAGCCAGTGTTGCTGCTAACAATTCCCCATCCCAGTAGTTCTTTTCGGAATGAAAATTAAGGTCTATTATTTAAACTCTTTATACTGCTTAGGAATGCTCATACCAGGAAAGGCTGCAGAAGAGATCCATCTGTCAGGGGGTTTCATTTATGCTGGTGACACTTCTCATGCTGATTCTTGCTTGGTGTTGATGGTGAGCTTCTGGAGATGCAGTTCTCTGCTTCTGCATGGTGCCATCAAATGTTTGAGAAGGCTGAATGGTGCTTTTTTTCTTCTTTCTCCTCAAGAAGATACTGTTGACTTTTTTCAGCTTCCAGCTGTGAGGCACTGATGCCTGCTCAGGTGAGCTCTGTCCTTTCCATTCAGATGTCAGTAAGGGGAACAATCACCCCCTGTTAGATCAGGCTTTCCACTACTTCCTTCTGGCAGCTTTTGAAATTACTGAAATAGAAGCCTGGTCCTTGTACCTTGGCCAAAGTTAGCTTGAGTTACCATGAGGCTTTTCTGAGACCAGAATTTAAGTAGGAGGGAGCATAGGCTTAATGCCATCTGCTACAGTCCCTTCCTTAGGTTGCCAGAGCCTTTTCTGATATGTCCAGTACCCCAGATAACTGACCCCATTCTATTGACAGCACTCCTGTCCAAAAAGGCACCATCTGGGCCAAGAAAATTCCCCTTCTGTGTCACGTTTGATGAATCTGCCAGGTCATGAACGTGCATGATGTTAGAAATATAGGTGTGTGCTGCAGGAGGTCAATCCTGTGTGAGAGCTGATGAGATACTAAATTCCTGTGGATTCTCAGGACTTTTTTCAACTGTAAGCCTCTGTTTTGGGAGTGAGAGTGGTGTTTCAAATGTGCTCTGAAGAGATGGCCAGACCCTGGGACAGCACCCTCTGGTTGAGTGTCACTGAGATTAGCTTTGCTTAAGCACTCTGTGAAGGGTTAGAGAAACACTGGGCTTCCGTGCTGTACCTGGGAGTTCCTGGCAAGCAGTTGTAACTCTGTTCAAGCCAGGCCTCTGTGAGTACTGATCAGAGCACGAGGCCCACTTGGTGCTGTAAGGAAAGGGGCTGCTTGGCCTGCCTCTCATGGGAAACCTTGGAAGTGATGCATGGATGCCACCAAGTGCAGGAACTGGTTGCTTCTGCCCTATGTGTGGCAGAATATGTATCTGTTGCAAAGTAGGAGCCAGATCCAAATTTCTCCTAAAGCTGACGTGTGTTAAGATACAGATTTCTGGTGTGGTCTGCTCTGGAGACTGGCCAGCAATGAAAATTGGAAGGTCAGCGACTCTGAGTTGGGTCCCTCTTAGATATGGGTAAAAAGGGTAAATACAAAAGCAAGGATATTGCTGGCTGGATTTCCTTAGTGTTGTATTAGATACACTAAGAAAATTTTTAAGTGGGACCTTTTATTTTGTGATTATTTTTTAGTTTTGAGATATTGCGGTGTCTGTATATTCCAATGAAGTACTGAAAACACTTGTCTTTGTATAGAAGATAACTGTTTAAAAATTGCAGCTAATCTTGTATTTAGGTAAAACATTTGTAGATAGGTAATTGTATAATATTGAAGAACTTTACACTGGCATGTGTTGTATAACGTTTATACAAGACACTTCATACTTCTGCAGAATTTTTTAGTTATTAAATTTCTAGTAACTTAATGTATAGTTTTGTATCCTTTCATGTATGTTCGTTTTCTCAGTATTACCACTTGCAGAATTATTTTTAGTTTCTTAAACTGTAATTGGTTATTTGTGTGTGATACACAGGGTTATTGACTGCAGCAATAAAGTGTTTCTATAAAAAAACAGAAAAACCCAAACCCCTTATAGTATCCATTTTGTTTGAAAAAGCATGGAGAGAAAAATTGAGTAAGATGATGATCAAAACACAGAACTTGATGGCTCTTCTATGTAACAGACCAGTGCAGAGTAGCATCCCATGATAATTTGATGATAAAATAATCCATAACGATAAAGGCATTGTAACCATTGGAATAATTGGGCAACTCCTTTGATGCAGATGCTTTGGCCTCAAGTGCAGGAATCATGGGGAGAAGTTTCTGGCATCTGCCATGCAGGAGGAGGAGAGAGAGGATTCTCATGGGCCTTCTGGAATCAGCACTGCTTGGGGCATCAACTGCTTCATATCTGAAGTCAGCATTTTCACATGCATCTGTGTAGAGGTGCAGAGCAGAAGATGATCATTGCTATGATTTTCCTCTAGGAAGAATATTCATTTTGTGTACAGAAGAGGAAATCTTTAGCAGTTTCACTAGAATACATGTCTAGCACCAGTAGGTCAAGGAAACTGCATGGCTGTGAGAGAACTTTGTTACAAATTCATACACACCAAAGAGCAAAGACCTGGAGAGTTGTGTCTGTAACAGACAAAACAGGGCTCAAAGAAAAGCTTTTAATTTCTATTTAAGTAGTAATTAGTTTTTCATTTTCTTTTAGGTAAGGAAGGGAAGGAAATCTTAAATCTGCAACCCTGAAGAGGTGTCTTCCATGCAAAACAAAAGTGTCTGTCCTGCATTCCCTTAGTAAAGAAAGTCTGGCTGTGGTAAATTAAGCTACTTATATAAAGTTTGGAAATCCAACAAGACCTCTATACAAAAATACCCTCCTGGAGAGGTGGTAGGATGATTTCCAGGGCCTGCTGTTTGACTGGCAGTCTCTGAGATGAAAAGCTGATAAATGGTTTAAGGAACAGAGCCCACAAAGCCATCTGGCTGCCAGTTAAAAAGTGTTCCTTGTCTTGGGCTCAGGCATCTCGAGTTAATTATAAATTAACTTACTTCCTCTTGTAAACTTTATTTTCATCTGAAAGAGTATTACTGTCACTGTGTGAAGTGTGTCCATCTCTGAGGAACAGAACAGCATTGGCTCAGCAGCATATGGCACAGCTGTGACTCCAGGAACAGGATTTTTCCTCTGGTCCCCAGGAACTGGAGCTGGCTGGTGAGTAGTTACTGGCTGGCAGGACCAGCATGCCTTGTCTCTTGGAGCAGGGCAGAAGGAGGCAGGTAGGAAGCAGAAGGGAAGCATTTTGCAAGGTCCATGGGTGCCCTGTGGAAGCCACAAAGGTGTCAGAAGATGTGACTCCAGCTGCTGATTCTGAAAACCAAGTCCTCTCTCAAAAGCATGGCTGCTGCCTGCACTGCTGCTCAGCCCCCTGCACTGCTGCAGGACATCTCCCATCCCACTTCCCACAGCCATTCTGTGCACCAGCCTCCTGTGAGCCACCCCTCCACTCCAGATTTCCCTATCCCCAGTGTGTTACCCACCTCATGCTGTGCTTGTCCTTTCAGTCTACTTGTGCAACCCAAATTTCCTTCCTCTTGCCCCCTTCCTCACTTGCCTCTGGGCCAGGCTGGCTGTGAGGCTTGTGCTAGGATGTACCAAATTGCAGACAGTGTGTGGTTGATAGGAATGACCATAGAAACACCCAGAAGCAACACTGCAAATAAAGGTCTGTGTCCCCTTGTGATCCCAGTTCTTCCAATAAATCCTCTAGGCTCCAGTCTCTGATGTGTAGGATGCTCTCTGACATTTTGGCATTGTGTTGTGTACCACAATACAGCAGAAGAGGATGATTTTTCACTGCCTTGGGATGGATGTATAACATAAAATCAGGCAAGAATATATCTCAATATAGAACAGAACAGGAAATCTCAGTACGTCTTGGCTAGATGGAGAAAGGAGGCAGAGGAGGTTTTTTTAAAAAAAAACAGGGCCCTGGACAAAGGAAATAGGAAGCAAATTCAGTGCATTATGCAGGGTAGAATAATTAGAAATGTAATATGGCTTAGGCAGGGTCGAGTGATGGCAAATTTTAGGAATAGTCTTTAAAGTGCATTCTAGGAAAAGGCAAGAATATGTCAGAGGAACTGAGATCTGAAAATCGAGAGTAGACTTTGAGAGTATTAGGGAGATAAATGAAGTTGTCTCAAAGGTTTTAACATCAGAGGAGGGTTTGAAATAACTGAATAAAACACCAGAAGGCTGTACAGAGTGGGGGGGAGATCACTACTCAGGGTGTGCTCATTAAATCCTGAAGCTTCAAGGAATCAGGCTTGCAATTCCTAGCATTTTTAGACTTTGCTGAAACAAACCTCCCAGTCAATTTTGCTGGCACCACCCTGCTGTGCTGGGTTGTTCTGATACTGTCTCAAAGGCCACCTGCAAACAAGGCAGGCCAAGCAGGCTTAGGAGAATGCATCACTGTTAGAGCTGTCGGGTCTGGTGCTGGGACAGCAGGTTCCTTTGTCATAGGGAACAGTTATCCTTGTGGCTGGGAGAGGACAGGAAATGTCTTGGGCTGGTGACTTGATCCCAGCTGTGAGAGCACAGCTGTCTTGGATAGTGATACATCATATCTGCTTTACCTCTGAGCATCCCAAAATAACTCACCAAGTACCATTGTCCCCTTCCTACAGATAAACTGAGGTCTCTAGAGCCTAGCTTGCCACTTATTCTGCTCTCATGTTTACCTTCTTGCTTTGAAAGTGCTCTATTAAAAGAGAACTGATTCTAATAGTGGGATTATCTAAACCAGTATTTCCTTGTGCCAGCAAGCTGATGGTTTATTTTATCCCAAAACTGCTTTCAGGACTATCCTAAATTCATGGTCATATATAAGCGGTTGATGTACACCAGAGAAATCAGATGTAAATTAAATCAAACCATTCCACTGAACAGCCTTCTTGCAGCCCTGGACCAAATCAAGCTGTGGCAGAAGTTAGAGGTATTATTTCAAGGATTAATTTGAACCTGTCTGATGTAGCATGAGTCTCTGTCAGGACTCTACCTTTGCTTCTTGGGCTTAGGAATTTTGCAGCAGTTTTCAGTCTCTCACTGCTGTTCTAATTTTGCAGTTGTCAAATGTGTGCAGCACAAAGTGATACCTGAAGAGCAGCCACTGATGCAGTTGCATTCCTTTTGTTTGCCTTGTCTGTGTTTTAACGTGCCCCATGCCTTTGCTCTCTCCTCCTCTTTAGCACTGTTACCTGCACAGCCTCGAGCAATGGTTTGGGGAGGGGAAACCTGAAAGCACATTGCTTTCTCTCTGCCTCCCTCCTCTCCTTAGGTGTAGCTGCACAGCTACATCTGCTGAGGAAGGACAGGATCTGCACATCCAGGGTAAGTGATGAGGTCAGGCAGTTCCAGATCCCATGGTCCTCAGGGCTGAGGGAGGTCTCCTAGCATCATGTTAACTGGGATGAAGGATCCAAGGAACACCAGTCCATAAAGAGAGTAGGAAGTTCATGGGGATAGAGAGACTGTCAGCCTCTTGCAACCTGGATGGTCCCTTGCAAAAAAGGTATAAAGATACCTTTTGTGTTGATACAGCAGCCCTGTTGAGGGTTGTGAGAGATTCAGCTGGTGCCAGAATTGTCGCTGCCTGCATGGCAGAGCAAGGACACTGTGCTGAGCTTTGCAACTCTAGAGTTCCTTCCTGGGCACTGAGGTGGGACAGAGGCAGTTCTACAAACAAGGAGGGTTTTTTCTCCCCATTCTGGTGGATTAATATGCAATTAGCATCCATATGTTTTCAGCTATTAAGCTTATGACCCTTAGATTATTTATGTAGCTTAGAAATTTCTGTAGGCTCTGCTGCTCCTCTCTGTCATTTGTTAATTGCTGCATTGTATCATTCCTCCCTACTCCCAGTATTAACATATTTCAGGAGGGCCATCTGCCTAGCCCAACTGCCTGTAACCTCAGGAGGGCTGTAGCACACATGATGTCTTCCCAGAACAACCTTGTTTTTCACTGGCACTGCACGAAGGTAAAGAAGGACAGCAGCTGACTTCTGCTGTGAGTTTCCATGTAGTAAATCTGAGGGGTGTTTAGGCGAAGGGGAGCTGTGAGTAAGGAGCAGCAAAGTCTCTGGCAGAGTAGATGTGCCCTTGCAGGCAGCTGTCCTGCCCCACGCTAACACTCAGCCAGACCAGAAATAGCAGCTGCTTGTGTTTTAAGGGTCTGGTTTCCCAGCTGCCTGCGTGTGGCTGCACAGATCCTGCTGCCTTAGTGAGACCCTCTCCAAGAGAGGAGCGAGGTGTTTGTGCACAGGTGGAGCAGGGAGCAATTCCTGCCTCCCCAGGGAAAGGCTTGAGGGGGCTGGTGGTGACAGTACAGTGTGGATCTCCTTATGAGCAAGGTAATGTACCCTCTGGATAAAATAGTTAGGTTTGGGTTTTGTGTATCCTGAATTTTGTCTGGCAGGATTTTGACAAAGTGTTTGAAATTATGCCAAAAGTAAAAATTATCAATAACCTTTTGAATGTGGACCTCATGTTAAAAGTGAGAAGTGCTAAAAGAGCAGACTTAAAAAGAGACACAGCTGTGAAGAGGCTGGTGAGACACAACAAATGCATTCCTACAACTTTCCTGTACAGGGCTGAGCTTATCTAGTATTTTTTAATGAGTTTGTAAGAGGAGTTGTAACACTATAGGGAGAGTCCCGGTAAATCTTTGTGCGGAAGAGCCTCAAACCCTGTAAAAACAGAACTCATCACTCAGGGGAATGGAATTTTGTGTTCTAATGCTGCATCAGAGCTGAAATGCAAAGAAACATTGAAACCCGCTGATCAAGATTTGAACCCCACTTTGTTCCATATTTGCAGTGAAAATGAAGGTGTCTAGAAAGAGGCCTTGAGTATGACAAATCTGTTTCTGAAGCACTTGATGTGTTAAAAGGGTTTCAGATATCTTTCGGTGAAGGCTGTGAACCTAAATTTAGAAACTTTACGACTAACAGCTCTTGTGCAAAAATGAAACAGAACTGTGAGTTCTTAGAAGTCTTATGTGAAGGACAGGGGAAAGCGAGGAAGATCTTACTGGGCTTATGGTGTGCTTCTATGTGGTGACATTGTCCATGGAAGTGATCAGAGTGCAGGAGCAAGGATCCCTTGCTGCTTAAATCTCAGGAGGAGAAGTCAGATCTCCACGCTGGGATTCTGCAACTGCCTCAGGTGGGTCATGAAACAGTTGGCCGTTTTGCACTTCTGTTTGTTATTTAAACAGTAGCAGCAGACTAGAAGTTAATGCTGAGTACTTTTGAATCTTTTCTATGGCTATATATAAAAGCATGTCCTGAATGTGGGAGAGCCTTGAACTCTAAGTCACAATACAGAAAATGCTTGAGTTACTACTTGACCTGAAGAGACATAGGAGACCTTCCCTGACTCTTCTGGATGAGCACAGCCCAGTGTCTTCGTGCCTCTGCAAAAGAAAAACAGGATCCTTTCAAGGGCAACACAGGCTGTTCCTGTTGTCCCCATTGGTGTGTAACCACAACATGTAAGTACCTTAAAACATAACACAGGCTACAGCCGATCTTGGGAAGCTGAAGCAGAGAATCCATAAGCATATTTTGAGATGTGCTCAGCAGTCTGAGGGGCACAAGGCGCTTTGCAACTGGACTTGCCAGAACAGAAACAGGCACAGCCAGCAACAACTTCCAACTTTAGTTGGCCTTAATTGCTCACTTCCTCTGTATTTGAAGGTTGCTGCCTCACCTGTGGGCAAAGCACCTCATAATGAAAGTGCTACCAAAGTATGATTTGATTAGTTACCATCATACACTAATTAATCCAGTAGAGAACCTCAGCTGTACCTGTACCACAAGTAAATCACTCCCGAGGTGGTTTTGATTTAGCTTGTTATGCATCTAAAGATGCATATCTTATCTATCACTAAAGATTCACAAGAGCCAGAGACCAGCTAGGCCAAATGCCTGACCACAAAGAAATGAGGTGCTGGGTTTAATCACAGAGCAATGATGAAAGGACACAGATGTGCAAAAGTGCAGCCCAGCCCCTCTCAGCACAGTATCGTGCAGCTGCTGCTGCAGCAGCACAGAGGAAGATTATCAGTGAGATAGCAGGGTTGGCAGCATGTAATATTTGCTTGATGAAATACTCAGGACCAGTATCAGTGGTCTTGATGTCAGCATGCCAAGTGTGAGGTGTCACTGCTATGGCTTTATTTCTCTGGGCAAATTGGAGTCTGGAGGAAGCACAGACAGCTCTTCTGTTCGTAATGGCAGCATCTTAATGGTAACAGGTGCTTGGTGTACCCAGGGAGGGCAGTATGAAATGGGATGTTTAGAGGGCTTTCTGCAAATGGGGAACTGGTTGTTATGCACAGTTCTGATCTGCAGACATGCTGGCATTTGGTGCTACACACAGTAATACAAAGGCAGCAGGGTGTTTAAAAAGCTCAGAGGAATACAGGGAATAAAACATGGGCACATACAGGGGTCTACCCCTGAGGAAAGTATGAGCTGTACACAAATTTGCACATTTGGTGTATAGAATGAGGCTGCAGTATGGTGTGAGTCACCATCCCTGGGAGCATTCAAAAAACATGTGGTTGTGGCACTTAAGGATATGGTTTAATGATGAATTTCAGTGGACTTGATGATCTTAAAGGTCTTTTCCAAGCTTAACAATTCTTTGGTGCTATGATAGAGTAACTTTGGATGATGAAGAGAGTGGGATATTTGCAGTGTGTAGTGTGTTGTGTCAGTGTAGTGTGAGTGTAAGGAGCACACAGAAGAAAGAATGTGTGCCTGCACACTGGGGTGGTTTGGAGTTGAGGTTACAGAGTGCAGAGCAGTTTAAGATGAAATCCTGTAAATGTAGAGGTGGTGAGGCACACAGGGCTGTGCCGACGTGAGCTGTGCCTGACAGGATCAGGACTGCTGTGTGGAGCACTGTGCTGCAGAGCCGAGAGCTGTGGATGCCGTGTAGCGTTGTGAAACTCTGGAACAGGGCTGGAATTCGGGGTGAGGGGCAGGGCTGGAATTCGGGGTGAGGGGTGCTGTGCCAGGGCAGGGTGCGGGACAGGGCTGGAATTCGGGGTGAGGGGCAGGGCTGGAATTCGGGGTGAGGGGTGCTGTGCCAGGGCAGGGTGCGGGGCAGAGCTGGAATTCCGGGTGAGGGGTGCTGTGCCAGGGCAGGGTGCGGGGCCGGAGGCGCGGCAGAGGCGGGATGGGGAAGGTGCGCCGGGCCGGGCCGGGCCGGGGAAGGGGCGGGCAGCGCCGGGCCGCCCTGTGCGCTGGCAGAGGAGGCGGCGGCGCTGGGCAGGGTCCGGGCGAAGGCGGGAGCGCGGCTCAGCAGCTCCGCTGGGGCCGTGCCGAGCCGAGCCGCGCCGCGGGGACCATGCCGTCCTACACCGTCACGGTGGCCACGGGCACCCAGTGGTTCGCGGGCACCGATGACTACGTGTACCTGACCCTGCAGGGCACGGACGGCTGCAGCGAGAGGCACCTCCTGGACAAACCCTTCTACAATGACTTCGAGCGCGGCGCGGTGAGTCCCGGGCCCCCCGCCGCCTTTCCCCCGCCCGGCCCGGCCCGGCCCGCACCGCTTTTCCCCCGCCGCCTTTCCCCCGCCGGGCCCGGCCCGCCATCCCGGGCGGTGCAGCAGCCGCGGCCGCCCCCTGTCCCTGAGGGGCTGGACGCTTTCTTTAGGCGCTTGTCTCCGTGTGCCGGTGCTCCGGAGCGGGACACCGAGGCTGAGGTACCCGCTGCCCTCCCCGGCCGCCCATCGTCCGCATCCCTGCCCCAGGAGTTATCCCTGGCTGCGGTCAGTCAGAGCTTGGGAAAGATAGGGCTCTTTGGTTCTGACTCACCATCACTTTCAGATCTCCTCGCACTTTCTTTACAAACATTAAAAAATAACAGTGTGTTTCCTGTTGATAGGTGATGTTTAGGGTCAGTATTTACTGATAGTCAGAGCCCTGTTATCTCCAGAGAATTAAACAAAGAGATAAGAGCATCTAGTGGGAATTACAATGCCTGCCAAGAGAAATGCGTGGAGCAACGTCAATGAAAGTTGGAAAACAGCATGAATGTGTGAAAATGAAGCTGTGTCTGGGCTATCAGCTGTGTTCTTCTTCTTAGCCCAGATTTCTGCTGTTAGTTATGCCCTGTACTCTCTGTGGTCCTATTACCATGTTTTAACTATCCAAATGTAATTGCTTATACTCTTACCATTGGTTTAGAATGACATTTATTTATTTGCTTATTGTCCACTCTGGAAATAAGACACTTTTTTTTTTTCCTCCTTTCTAAAATGTGTATTTTACCTGGAAATCAAATTCACAGTTTCTAGAAGGTCTGATGAAATAGAAACATCTTGGAAAGTTTTAAAAAGATATTCAGAAGTTTGGAAGTTAGACCTACTACCACATCTACAAGTGAGTCTTCAGTGTCGTGGTGCTGCTTTGCCTTGAGGTGTGTTTTTTCAACCAGGTGGTTCCCAGCCTGAATTAAGTCCATGTTCTCTTTTGTGTTAAACATCATGGACACACTTAACAGAAGTCAGCATTTTGAGTAGGTGTTGATGGCATGTGTGGTTGTGGTCCCCCAGATATTTACCAGCCACTGCTACTGAAGTTAATTTTCTTTCACGATTAACATTCATTAGCTTAGGACCTTGTTACCTGAATCTCCCCAGTGGACTTCCAGTCATTGTTTCTCTCTTATCTGAATAGTCACATACTTCAGGCAAAACTGGACAATATTAGCAAGAGAGGTTGAAGGAGAGCTCAGACTGTCCTGCAAACTTAGGGTTAGGTGCTCTCCCGGGAGGGCTGAGCCCTGCCCAGCTGAGGAGATCACCACCAGGGTGTTACTGACCAGGCAGTTTGCTCTTATTCCTGGGCTGCAAAAGAGGGTTTCAGGTGGCTCTGATGGAGAGCCTGCCACTACTCTGAGCATTCAGCTGGGCTGGATCCTGTCACAGGGAGAAAATTTCATGATGGGAGCATTCAGTGTCTGCCCAGCAGCAACTGGGGAGCTGCTGTGGGACCAGATCCAGCAGGAGCAGAGATATATCCACTAGGTGAGGGAGACACAGAGGGTGTGGGTGTTAGCAGCAGTCAGTTTTTCAGCGTGTATTTATATATATTATTATCAGAGTAAGTCTGTGTTCTGTAAAGTGTCTGGATCGCTGGACACACAGTGCAATGTGCAACATTTTGTTTTTGAGGGTGTTTTCTTGGGGAGTGCAGCATTTTTTCCAGGCACCTGTTCAGGTTACATTGTGCCCAAAACACTGTGTCTTAATAATATGTTGTGCAAGGGAAAGAAGGAAAGAAAAGAAAAATACCAGTACAGAGCCAGAAAACTAAAACTAAAGAGGGGCAGAAGACTTTGAGTTTGGTTGGTTTGCAAAATGTAGCAATTGTTTTCACAGTTCTGCCTTTAGTGTTTGTTTCAATACCATTTTTTTCCCTGCAAAGCAATTCACAGTCCTTTTCTAAAACAAGTATCAATTTTTAGTGAATGAGCAGAATTTTGCAGCATTATTTGATAAGCTGTTGTCTACTTTCCAGGTTTGGTTTGGTTTTTTTCCCCCTAAATGTTGGGCCAGGCTCTGTAGTTCCATTATTCTCATAATATCTTCATTTGCATTATTGCAAATTGGGCATATTAGTAGATGTGATTAAAGAGGGCATGGGCCAGATCTGAGTAGGAGATTTGCATGGCAAATGTTGACTGAGGGAAAAATATGTGGAAAACTCTGAAGGAATTTGCACAATGGTAGCTCAGTAGTAGTTTTTCTGACTTCAAGCCCTGGACACAGGCAATGTTGAAAGTCATAGTTTCTTTTCTTTGCATAGTGTCTTTTGAGTAAATTCCTCTGGTGCTGAGTGATTTCAAAGTTTATGGTGTCCCTCAGTTCTCTCTTCCTGTTCCCCTTTCATTTGCTGTTTTGCTTTTGTTGAAAGAAAAATACTGACACGTATTTCTAGAAAGCTCTTTGCACTTAGAGCTTTATGTTTATAGAAAAAGGAGTTGTCTGTGCTGTCCTTTTTCCAATATGAGAATGGTCAGTAGGAATCTCTCCTCAAAAAGAGACTCAGGTTTTGCATGAGATTAAATTGCTTGAACAGCATGGTACGGGAGTTTGGACAGTGCAATAGTCTTCTTTACTTCTGTTCTCTCACTGTGCCCTCAAGCTGTATAAAGCTCCTTGTATGTCTGGTTTTCCATACAGCCACCCTGGTGTTTGTCAAGGGACCTCATACAACAAATGGCATAGAAACCTTGAGCAACCAAGTGTCAGTTCTTACCTGCACCTTGTACATTCTCTGTAACCTGACACACCTCTACTGCATTAGCAAAATTGTCATCTGAGGTGAGCCCATGGCAGTGCTGGCTTGGAGGCAGCAGAAGCTGTGTGGGGTACCAGGAGGGGAGCCCTCCTTTTCAGAACTGCCATTAAAATTGAATTTTGATGGTCATAAAAAGATTAAAACCCTCCAGGATCATTTAGGTTAATTGCATGTCCTTCTTGCATTATATCAACAGTAACTACTTTAGGGCTCTTGTAATATAGGCATGTAGGCTGTTACCAGAGGAATGAGTTTCTTTTGAAAGTTGGCTGTCAATGTGACATTTCTATCAACTCCTTGGATCCGATTCATATTGCTCTTTAATTTAAATCTTATGTGTACCTATCTCTGGGTGTGACATTGTACTTAAATTCCTTTGTACAGCTGAGCCTTACAAACATAAAATGTGTAATTGTCCGAATTTAAGTTGTACAAACAGAAAATGTGCAGTTGTCCTCATTTTAAAAAGGCAGAATTGAAGAAGACCGGGAAGCAAAAGACAAAGTGGATTTAGGTGATCTGCATACTGTCCTTAGTCTGAAGCGCACATAACTAACACACAAAGGTCTTTAAATTCCTAGTCCAATGTTCTAATCTCTTTAACACCTTTCCACTTCAGTTGGATGAGTAGGTGTGCCCTAGCAGTACCTCCTTCAGCTCTTGCAAGGAGAGTAGTGAATGGTTTCATTGACCTGCGTGTTATTCTAAGACTTGCACACATTTCAAAGAGTAATACTGTTTTTAGGTTGCATCCAAAAATGTTTCTCCTTTTCTGGAGTGTTCTGTATGTTACTGTTTGTCCTTTTTTTTTATCTTTCTGTTGCACTGCAGTCCAATAATAGGACTTCCTTTTTTCACCCACAGGAAGCTGGAAAGCTTTGTGAGGAAAGGCTAGGTATGCCTGGGTAGTGCTGGTGGTGCTTTCTGCATATGCAGTGGATCACTGGGTGTGTTCTGCTCTGCAGGTTGACTCCTATGATGTGACTGTGGAAGAAGACCTTGGAGAAATTCAGCTAATAAAAATTGAGAAACGGAAATACTGGTACCAGGATGACTGGTACCTTAAGTATATCACTGTTAAAACACCAGTGGGTGACTATCTGGAGTTCCCCTGTTACCGCTGGATTACGGATGAAAAGGAGGTTGTCCTTCGAGATGGAAGAGGTGAGAGCTATTAGAAACCAGATTTCCTGCAGAACACCTGGAATTCTTCCATCTCTCCTTTCCATTTCTCCACATGCCTCCCAATCTTCTCCCTTCAATGAAGACCCTCTGCCAGTCCCCTGCTGCATCCTAGAGAGTGGGGTTTCCCTACTAGGAATGCTTTCTGGGCAGCTTGTTGGGCTAGGCACTGGCTGTTGGGTTGGATGTTTTGGGAAGCACATACAAGGAAGAGTCCTAACTCTGGCTTGTTACACTGGTCTTGAATTTGAAGGTTGATCCTAATGCCAAATTTTTTACTATTCCACATCCCCACTGCTGGAAGCCCTTTTGATCTAATTGGAATTAGTGTTCCCTGTTTGTTTCATTCCAAGCTCCAAAGTGGCCCATGATTAGTTGCCTGTTAATTGTCTTGTTTTCATGAGAATGAAATAAAATCCCAAAGTTGCTCAGCAGGTGCAAACTGCAACAGCAGTTTACTTTTCATTAATTCTCTTTGCATGCTTTCAAGTCCAGGACAAGGCAGGGTGATGGATTTGACTGCTCCAAGTATTGGTGACCAGCTGAGAAAGGTGTTTTTAAGTGTCTCTGACACCTACTTGCCGTGACCAGGGTTTGGGCAGACATTTGTCACTGATGTTTTCTTGTTCCTCTCTCTGGTACCTGGGGTAGGTTGGCTGCTGTAGTGTTCTGCAGCATGAGTGCTTGAAAACAGCTGAAACGAGTGTGAGGTGGTAGGAAATAAATGTTTATATTCCCCTTACGTTTTTGGCCTCTCCTGGCTGGGGCACTTTGTGTTTGAAGTCTTTTGTCCTATAATGACAACTGTGTGTCAGATTATTTTTAGTCTTTCCATTTTTCATAATTTGCTTTATAACAACTGTACCACTTCCATGGAAGGCAGCTTTGTGTGGCTTTCAGAGTATGATGAGGTGAAGGACAAGAGCAAGTGAAACTCTCTCAGTAACTTGGACACAACACCTGGAAACCATTAGCCGTGTATGTTATCAGCTGTATTACATCTGATATTTCCAGCCCCAACCCCAAACAGCTTTTGTCATGAAACTTCTACTGGTTTTATCTGCCTCCACATTTGTGTATGTAAAGTGAGTCTCGTACCTTGCCCTTTCTCTGGTCACTGAGGAAGTCTCTGGGTTATTTAATGTTATATTGAATTCGTGGTCAGAAGAGCAAAATGTCTGGAACTGAAATCTCATTTTTTTTACTTCCTGTTCTCATGACTGGAAGATGTCATTATTGTCCCAAGCTGGCAGGGGAAAGCATTGCTCAAGGGGAGAAGCTTGGAGATGCTTCCTGTACATGTCTTTTAGCAGAGAAAATGAGCTGGAATAATGTTGTGGTTTCTCTTATTGATGGAAAGTCCCCTAGATACTGAACTGTAAAATTAGTTCCCAAGGCTCTCTTCAGACCATTTAACACTAGATATGTACAGCAAATGTCTACATTAGAAATCCAAGGTTATATACTGTTGAGACAGATATTCCTAGTTTAAACTAATTTTCCCTTGGAAGCACCAGGTCAGGACCCTATCTTCTTCCACAGATTCTCTGAAGACCTGTGTCCACTTAAAACTACTAAATTGGATCATGTAAGCATTTCCCACAGAAACTTTGTAAAGATATAGATCAGAAATTTGAAGGTTTTGAAGCAATTTCCTTGCTGTCCTTCTCAACACCTGGGCAGTGATAGGTAGAGGAAGCTCATAACCCTGTCTCTTTTCCCTGTTAACAGCAAAGCTCCCCCGAGATGACAAGACTCAGATTCTCAAGCAGCACAGGCGCAAAGAGCTCGAATCCCGTCAGAAAATGTACCGGTGAGTTTCCCACTGCTCCGGGGTCTGTCCTCATCAGCCCAGAGTCTGGCAGAGTATATTTGCATTACCACATGCCTCTAATTACTCAACTGCTGGATAAGAGAAAGCCTAAGTTATCATGTTGGCATAGCTGATTTTTTCTTAGATGGAATTCATTGTACAGTGACGATACAAGTGGCATTATGGATGCTTGTACCTCAGATAAGCCAGTCTGGAAGACTTCTGTGGGAATTCAGTGACAGAGCCTCTGTGTGGGCCCTCTGGCACACCATTGTGCTTTCAAGGAAAATCTTCAGGGCAGATTTGAAGGCATATTTCATTTGCCTGTTACAAGCAGTACTACAGTTTTAGAACATGATCTGAACATGTCAGGTTTTCCTGGAGCTTTTTGGCTGCTGCACCAACCTAGCTTGAGTTGTTTCTTGCACCAGGGTGCAGTGAAAACCTGACGCTGTCTGAGTGAACTGGAATGTGCTAACAGAACACAGTTGTGATATATCTATATATATGTACACACATGTATGTATTATACATATATATCACATATATATTATGCTGCCATAGACTTTTTTTTCTAGTCAGTGTCATGATGAGAAAATTCTGTCTTTTCTCAGAGGGTGACCTAGAGGGCATTAGACATTGCCTTTTGCTAGAGATGTGCTCTGTTAAAATAACAAAAGTTTCTTGCACTTGTATCTCTTTCTTGGGAGAGTAGGGGTCAGGGCAAAGGGTCTATTCAGAAGTGATGGATTGAGGCTTGGTGTATGTGTTGTTTATTTCATTTGAACAAGAAAAGCTGTTCCCTACAAATTACAGGAAATAGGGCAGAGGAAATATGGTTCAAAAAGAGGTGTGCCACAAAATTTTATTTACATATGCAAGAAGGAAGGCAAAACCATTTGTAATTTCAGGGAAATAGCTACTTAAAATTCTGATGCATAGCTGATAATACACAGTGCAGTCTGTGTGTGGCAGGCAGTTTGGAAATACTATTGAAACAGTATTCTTTACAATTAATTTTCTTTTCTTTTGAAATAAAAATGGGGCAAAGAATGTGTGCCATGACCATTAGGAGGTTGAACAGTTGAATCAAGACTCCTGGAGAGGACATTTTGAAGGAATCTAAATACATGCCTGTCTAGTTTTAGCTGCTGTATCTCAAGTGTAGTCCCAAGAATGAGCATGCATTGGGCAGCTGTCTCTCTGTCCCCTCCCCTCATAAAACATTTGAAGCTACTGCCAGTTTCAACCAAATGTGGCAAGTGTGTAGAAATATCACAGATATTAAGCTACTTCATGCTTTGTGAAGGTAGGTGGCCAAGTAAATGCCTTTCAGTCTGCTTCAGGATTCTGTGGCGTGGGAATTGATGTGGTGGGTAGGTATTGATGTGGTGTAAATCACTTATTTTGGCCTGAGTCTGACACAAAATCCTTTTACAGCAGTGAGCCACCAAAACAGCAGAGATAAGGACACAGCTCCCGTGCTGATAAGATTTTATGGTTACTCAAGCCTCTCTTATTTTCTCAGCTGGAAGGAGTGGCATCCAGGCTTTCCGCTGAGCATCGATGCCCATTCTCACAGTGAACTGCCTCGTGACATCCAGTTTGACAATGAGAAGGGAATTGACTTCATTCTGAACTACACAAAAGCGTAAGTGTTTGTGGAACTTCAGGAGTTTGCAGAATCTCTTTTGGGATAAGGATATGACCACCTTTTAGGTTTCATTGAATCTCAGAATTGGATTATTTTCTCCAAGCGCTGGATCAGCAGCCAATCAAAGTACGAAAATAGGAATTTAATGAATTTGTTATTTTATTTTCTAGTTATAAATATTTAAATTTTTCCTGGGAATTAACTGAGCCTCTGCATTCTTGTTAGCCATGGTTTTGGCTATAGGCAGAGAGAGTAGACACTGGTGAAAAGCATTAGCAGGACTACAGGCACCTGAGCTTGAGCTTCTCACTCAGTTGTCAGCATTGTCCCCTGGAGATACCTTTCTCCTCTGACTGTGGGTGATAATTGAATCTTCTCGTGGCATACACAAAGAAGACAGTTATCAATGCACCCTTGACATCCTGCTGGAGAAAATCTCTTCCAAGCAGCTCATCAGCTATCCACACCTGAGTGTAATCTGCTTGGGGCAGCCAAGTTACTGTCCACCCACTTGCACATATCATGTCATTGAGGAAAACATTGGATGGCCATTGGATGAGCCTGAGTCATCAATCCTGCAGAGCTCTGGAATAGCACAGTGTCAGTGAGGCAGATGGGACCTCTCTGACCCATGAGTCTCCTTCTGTGCTTCTCAAATGCCCAGGTCATATGACACTATTTCAGGTATCCCACCATACTACCAGGTGGTGGAATAGTCTGATATGAGACAGGACTGTCCTTACATATCAGAGCATTCTGGGTATTTTATTTATTCATTTGTGCAGCTGAATTCCGCTACCAACGCAGAGTCAAATCAGCATGGTGTTACCAGTGCAAAACAGCTGCTTGCCAGCTCATATAGAAGATCTGAGTGATGCAGGAGCACCTGAATGCCAGAGATGGGAGGTTTGCCATTAGGAGACACAAGCAGTTTGGAGGCTGCATTCCCCTTCCAGCAATCCCATCCAAGCTGTGGCATGTTGTCAGAGGGCCTGAGTTGCTGCCAAGTGAAACTTGGAAGTGACTCAACAGAGTGCAGGGACATCTATCTTTGTCATTGGCTGTAAGGGGCCCTTCCCATGAAATAGGAACCTGAAACTGTGTTGCTGACAGCCTGCCATTCTGGATAACTGGTATGACACAAAACAGATTTTTCTAAGCAATGGCAGTGCTTCTTGACTGGCATATTTGGCTGAAAAATCTAGACCTATATTTCTGGTCAAGTGAATTGTGAAAATCTTTGGAGAAGAGTTTGATAGCCCTTATTTAGCTACCCTGATCTGCTTTGGGAGCTTGGAACAACTGTTTGCAGGAATGGAGTGGAGAAACATAGGGGAAGGCATGGGTCTTGTCTTCAGTTTGAATGCAGTGGGAAGGAAGACAGAGAGATATGTCTGGAAACCCAAAGGCAAAGTGTAGCAGTAGGCAAGGAGAACTTTTAAGGGAATGTGTGAGAGCTGGGAGAGTGATATGAGACATAGGAAGTCGTGAAAGAGGGGAGGGGAAAGCTCTTTTTCTTGAGACATGCAAAAATGAACTTAGAGGAAGATGCATCTCAGATATTCTTTTATGCTGTTGCAAGGTTGGATTTTTGGATGGTATTGACAGTGGATAACTCTATAAGTTTATAGGATTAATTGTGTGTAGGTGGAGATAATCCTGAAGGTGCCTGGTGCTGACGTGACCTACACTATCTAGCAAATGGAAACTCTCAGCTTGGATTCTGTGCCAGAAATACAGGCTGGTGTAACTATTTTGGACCAGTATTGCATTTGGGCAGATTAAATTCTACAAACAACTCTAACTTTTTTTTCTTTGCTCTGGTTTCTAATGTGTGCCAGAGACTTCCAAGTACTTGATTTTTTGAGGAAAGCATATTTTTGTTTCCTGAGTCCTTTGGAAGTTTTTGTACAGTGATTCTGTGTCCCTGTTGGGTGTGAGAAGACCTCTGGAGAGGCCATCACCTGTTCTAGCCTAGACAGTTGTGTGACTTTTACTTCCAAACATGCCTGCAAGCACCTCTTACCCTTGACTGCCATCTGCAGCAGCAGAACAGCCCGTTCGACGTGCACCCCATCTGGGCTGAGTGCAGAAGCAGCTCCTTTGTCTGCATTGTTGTCATGGTCTAGAGCCCTCCTTCCAGAAAGCCACTGGCTGTTTCTCCAGGCTTTTAGTCCTCTCCAGCCAGTTCTGATCCAGTTTTTTCTATATGTTTGCTGATTATAAATCCAGCCTCCTGGGATTCTTCTCAAATTCTTTTTGGGAGGCTTTTGTGCAGCACTGTGACTTTACTTTGTTGTCTGCCCTGCATATCTTTGTGTGCCGCGTGCACTTTTGTTTGTGTGTTTGAAGTGTTAGTGGGAAGCCAGCTTTATTTTTCAAATTCATTATTTGCTTTCTAGTCAAAGTAAATGATTTCCGTCTAATAACAGCAGTTTAGCATTTATGCAATAATTTAGGACTCATCATTTCATATAAAGGGAACTTGCTTGGCTGTGCTTTATTTGCTGAATTAGCAGATGAAGTCAGACATTTCTGGCTACCAGCCCGCTGTGTTCATGTGATGTGTGCAACTAAGACCCTTGGTTTCTGGGGTTAGATGTGAGCATCAAGTTTATCCAGCAGCTCAAATAAATAGAAAGCTCTCAAAAATCAGGCTTCACACTTTCGGGATCCAGCCTGGCCTTTGTCATGTAGATACTTAGAGTACCTGTTGTTCTTTTTAGGAATAGTGGCTGACTGATCCCGGGCTGTTTATCTTCTGACTTTGTGCACCTCTCTGAGTCTCTTTGTGTCACCATACCACTTTCTGAATTGGTGTTAGTAGTGCCCTCAGCACTCTTACCCGATGTTAAACACTGACAGTGTGTGAAGCACTAGCTTTCCTGACTGCAGTTTTTATAGGTCCCAAAGCACTGCCACTGTAGGCTGCTGAGAACTATTCTAGAATGGAGTTGTGTAAATGCAATAGCAGAAGTTGGGCTCCTGATGTGCCTTCAGCCTTGTGTGTAAAGGTGCAGCCTGCAATATTAATTCTGTAGCTACTCCCACATTCCACTACTAAAGTTTATTATGTTTAGATATATAAAAACTTTGAAAATAATAGGAATGGGTATTGAGAAAGCTGGAGATTATTTTTTCCAGATATGTTTTGTTTTGGTTTATTTTTAGGATGGAAAATCTTTATGTCAACCGTTTCATGCACATGTTCCAGTCTTCCTGGAGTGATTTTGCAGATTTTGAGAGGATTTTTGTCAGAATCAGCAACACAATCTCTGGTGAGTTTATCAGCATTTGCTCATGTTTGCGTCATAGAGTGACTAATTAGTTGTCTTGTTTGATCATCTGATTAGGATGGATGTGGCTGACCTGCTCTTCTGCTCTCCAATAAATAAACTGTATTCTCTGAAGTTTTACTCTTCTTCAGGCTGCCTAGGCATCAATTCACAGAAATAAGAGCAATTATGGTTTTCTTGGATATAAACCCAAGCACACAAGGTGGCAGAAGTATTAAAAATTAATTACAGCAATTTGTTACATTTAATAAGATTGCTTCCTAAGATACTTTTAACACAATAATTAGATGTGATCTACAATTAATTTAATTGATAACATTTCCATACTCATGAGGAAAGCTCCAATTCTCTGACATTTAAACATTAAGCATCAGTCTCAGTTATGTTAATACAAATCTCAGTTTGCTTTTTTTCAAGCCTTGGCAGAAGCACCTTGGGAAAAGGTGGTTCAAGGCATTTTTCAGTCATGCAGTTTCTGTCCAAGTTACTGAGTAATTTTTTCTTGATGTAGACTTCAGATACAGCACCAGACTCATTACGCAGTTGATAATGTAAATGTCATTTTATATAAACTTAACATTTTTCTGCTTTATGAAAAAGCATTGTGGGTTTAAGACTTTTTTAAAAATTATCACTGCATTACCTTGGGGCCTCTATTTTTAATGTTTTTACCCTTTTTAGAAAAATTAATTGCTTTCAGAAAAAGTCCTGCCTTGTTTAAAACTAGCCAGTAGTGCAAAACTTCACTACCTTCATTCTTCCCCTGAAGTCACCAATGGGATTTTTCATATTAAATGAAGTGACAACATGACATTACAAAACAGTACACTTCAAATATAAAAAATATCCATCAGTACTACATATGTAATAATAAAGTGATGGAATATGCAAAACTAGATTTGTAGTGAGATATTAATCTGGGTTTATATCAGCAACTGAAAAATAAATAGAGGAAAAACAAATCAAACAAGCAAAACAACAAATGAGGAGTCCAAATGCTCCCCCAAATTTCCTTCACCCAGCTCTAGCCTAAAAGAACTGCTCCAGCCACTGCTGTTCTTTCACAACACACATTGATGTGCGTTTCCCTTCTCCTGCTTGTGCCACCTGTGTTTGAACTTGTCCCTCTGTTCTGCATGCCCTGTGAATTTGAAGAGGGGGATTTAAAAATTTCATGAAAGACCTGGGAAGGTGGTTTACAGATTAAGAGAATATTTTTCATAAATCGGAATATTTTATTCCTCATTGCTTTTGTACATGGAGAAACAAATTATCATCGATTTAATTCTTCTCAGTGTGAGAAGCAAGGATTTAATTTTCCATTTAGCTTCAGTGATATTTCTTAAATCTGTCACATTTTGAATCCTTTCCTTGCTGCTTTCTCTATTCAAAGTTGCAGTGCAGTATAACAAAAAGGTGAGGGGAAAGGAGGAATCCTACAATGCAGTAGGTATTGATACTGCACAGATATTGATGCTGTAGGCTTGCTTTTCCTTTAGAATATGTGATGCAACACTGGAGGGAAGATTTTATGTTTGGCTACCAGTTCCTGAATGGATGCAATCCTGTGCTGATCCGGAGATGCACAGAGATACCCAAGAAGCTGCCTGTGACCATGGATATGGTAGAATGCAGTCTGGAGAGGAACCTGACTCTGGAGGAGGAAGTGAAGGTATGGCTCTGCGTCAGGCTGGGCTCTACCTGTTCCTTCTCACATCCTCTAATCTGCAGAGCCTGTTCTTACTGTCTTTAGCCACATCTCCTTTCTTCAGAATGTGTGATAGGTCACAGCAAAGCTGTTTGTCTCTGCAGACTGGCAGTGCTCCTGTTGGCTTTTCTCCTGCTGTCCTGCAGCTGCAGGCCATGCCTGTCTCCAGGTCCAGTGGAAGAGCTGTAACCTGGAGATGAACAGTCCTTTGGCACTGGTTTTCTCTGAAGGGTTAGGGACTGACTGAATGCCTCAGAGGGGAAAGGTGCCTCTTCCTTTCCTGGCAGGGTCTTTCCCACTAACATGCTGAAGAAGCGTTGTCAAGGGTGGTGCCTTGCTTTTGTTTGTACAATTAACACAGGATTCTCTTCAGCTGGCAGGGTGAAACTTGCTTGCATCTGAGTGTCACTGAATGAGTACCAAATACATAGATGCTCTTTGCTGAAAGGCTCACTGCCAGACTCTGCAGATACAAGTCAGGTAGTTTGTGCAATGGTTCTTGATGTCTCAATGACATCATTCTTGAGCTGCCATGAGCAAGGACAGGCCAGGGGTAGCTTGTAACCACCAGGCTCATGTCAGTTTCTGGCCAAGACTTCCCACTCCTTTGTTCCAAGCTGCTTGCATATTATTAAAACACATCATGCTTATCTTTTTGTTTTGTTTTGTTTTGTTTTGTTTTGTTTGTGTATTTTTTTGTTTTGTTTTTGTGTTGTTTTTTTTTTTTTGGTTTGTTTTGGTTTGGTTTTGGTTGTGGTTTTTTTTTTTGTTTGGTTTGGTTTGGTTTGGTTTTGGTTGTTTGGTTTGGTTGTTTTTTTCCCACAGCAAGGCAACATTTTCATTGTGGACTATGAGCTGCTTGATGGTGTGGATGCCAATAAAACAGACCCATGCACAATACAGTACTTGGCTGCACCCATCTGTCTGCTGTATAAGAATCTGGAGAAAAAAATTGTACCCATTGCAATCCAGGTGGGCTTGCTGTCAGGGTCTTTAGAAGGCCACACTGTTTGTTGTCTCATTTCAAACATGAAGGACTTGGGGCTTCATGTTCTTTTTATATCTTTCAGCTTGGTCAAAAGCCTGGACCGGACAATCCCATCTTCCTCCCTTCAGATGCCACCTATGACTGGCTGCTAGCTAAAATTTGGGTCCGTTCCTCTGATTTCCACATCCACCAGACAGTGACCCACCTGTTACGGACACACTTGGTCTCAGAGGTGTTCAGCATAGCTATGTTTCGGCAGCTGCCTGCTGTACATCCCCTCTTCAAGGTTAGTTCTTGCAAGACGGGAGGGTGTATGTGGGGGGGGGTGGGGTGGGTGGGGTGGTTATCACATTGGTTGGACAAACCAAAAGGAAGTTCTGGTGGTCGTTCAGATGAAATAGTTTAACTGGCTGCCCTGCAAGATAAGATGCAGCTAAACCACCAGAACTTCAACCTTTACATCTGGCTGCTGTTGAATTCAAATCTAGAATTTTCCTTCTCTCATTGTTTGTTTCATTTCACAGCTCTTGGTGCCACATATGCGGTTCACAATAGCCATCAATACCAAAGCCCGAGAACAGCTTATCTGTGAATGTGGTCTTTTTGACAAGGTAGGTAAACTCCTTGTGAATCTTCATTGTTCATGTCATTTCATCCTTATCCATGGTTCTTTGCTCTTCATGGTTCCATATGTACATATCCTGTAATCATCACATATTGCCTTGTTCCCTGACTTTTCTATTAAAGAGTAAACATAAGTAATGCCACCTGAGAAACAGGCACACAGATCTGATGGCTTGTTGTGCTAAAGATTTTCTCTTTTACCTCTAAGTAGCCAAATCAGAACTAGCCAATGTCAGTCAATGTCTTGCTCGTTGCTGATGTGCCTTTGGGTTATAATACAGGAGTGCACATAAATTCCTGCATATGTATCCACATAATTAAGGCCCCAACTTCTTTTAAATACTCAGTTGTTCATCTGTGAGCAAAGGGATTTGTGATTGCAAATAGAAATCTTCATCACAGAAGGACACGTAGACAGATTTCTAAGACCACAAAGAGTGTGTTTGGATTCCAGACTGTCTTCTTGAGTTGCCATAAGCAGCAGACCTGTTAGGACTGAACCTCAGCTTCACCTGAGTCAGTGAGACGTAGCTGTATGTCATGCCTTTATCAATGGTTTGGGTGAGGGCTGGCATGCATCCTCAGTAAGTTCACAGGTGACACCAAGCTCACTGGGAGAAATGGAATGCCACATCTAGGAACTGCAACAGCCTGGCACACAGCAGTCTCTGTGACTACATTCTAGGAGTTTGGGGGGGTTTCAGAAGCCTTCAAAGAGGGAGCCTCTGTTTCAGGATGTCTCTGTCCTCATTACACCCCTGGCACCAGGCCAAAAATAGCTTCCTTGCTTCCGAGTTTTTCACCCAAACAGAATAGAGAGGTTAAATTCAGACACCTTTTCCTTTCTCACACTGCTGACTGTGGAGACTTTGCATCCCTTTAAACAGAAGTGTCATGTCCATACCCCGTGCATGTGGGATGAGTATGTGGGTAAGACCTGCCAGCAAGGATCTGGAGTTCCAGGATTTGTTGGTTCCAATGCAGATGAACAATAAGCCAGAGGACGATAATGTAAGGTCACAACTGCTATTTCATGTGCTAGAAAAGCAACTTTTGGGAACTCTTGCACGGTGATTATCTGAAATGTTTTGCAGTGCTGTAGTGGACATGTTGTGTTTTCAAATGTAACATATACTGAAACCCTGGCCACTCCTCATTAGTCTCAACCCAGCAGGATTGATCTCCTGGCATTATTTCCAGGGTGACTAAGGGAGCCTGCATCCCTAAAAACTTGCTCCTAAACTACTCTGTAACAGCAGTGGCAGTTCATCTTAAGCCCTCTTCTAACACACTCAGGGCAGCCTCTATTCACACATGCACTGGTACTGGAGCATAGGGCTGCAGGGAGTAGCATGCTTTGATGTTGCTGTACTTTATTAGTGTATTCCACTATAAGCAGTACCTATGGTGCAAATGTGGATATTAGCAGTGACTCATGGGAGAGGTGTGAAATCCCTAAAGTCAAAATGCACAGTTCCAGTATATCTCTGCAGTTTGGTACTTCGTGTGGAGATGTGGTTTTCTCCTTGAAAAACAGATTCACCAGCATTCTGTATGCCATCTCCTGCAAATTTGTAAAGCCAGTCTTGGCACAAAGGGAATGTAATCTCCTACTGTTCCCATCTTGCTGTTCTTCCTGCAGGCAAATGCTACGGGTGGAGGAGGACACGTACAAATGGTGCAGAAAGCAATGAAGGATCTGACTTATAGTTCCCTCTGCTTCCCTGAGGAGATCAAAGCTAAAGGAATGGACAGCAAAGAGGATATCCCCTACTACTATTACCGGGATGATGGCATTAGGGTCTGGGAGGCTATAAAGAGGTAAAAGACCATAGTTCTAGATATTGGCTAGCAAAGTCACAGAGACACAGACCTCATTTTTTCCCTCCTCACTTTGATCTTCATGGCATCTTGTAAACAATATCTGGGCTGGTTAGGCACATAGTGCCTTTTCTATCCAGTGTATTTCATCTGAGGAAAACGATTTAGTCAAGCACACACTCTTTAAAGACTGGTAATTCTTGCTTTTCTCAGTGTTGTTTCCTTGCACTCTGTATTTCAGAGGATCCTTTACAAGTATGTACTCTTCTACAGAATTTCACAGAAGTTTAGTGAGTTGGAATTTAGCCTGTAAAAGGAATTTAGTTATTCTTTTTTTTTTTTTAGCTATGCACAAGCCAAGAGAGAACTCAGTTCTCTGAGCCAGCCATGTGAGCTCATCAAGGTTCTTGTGGACTGAAAATATAAGCTTGGCTCCCAAGATGGTTCTCTTTTGAAACTCAGTAAATTAGGTATAAACTGGTTGGAACAAAACCTTTCTTAAAATGCCTTAAAATTTCAAGGTCTGACTTTAATCAGGAAGAGCAGCAATTCTGAGTAAGGAGAGGTACTGCAAGGCTGCTCGACCACACAATCATGGCTCCTTTTCAGATCTGAAACACTGCCTTGCATGATTTATATGGTTTTTATTCTGCAGTGGCATTTAATTTAACAATCAACATACTTTTGCATGGCATAAGTTGCTTACCAAATATGCAGCTGTTTCTGATCACATGACTTTTGAAAAGCATGATCATTAAAAATCAGATCTTTTGTGTACACAAAGTAGGAGTTTTATGCTGCAAGGATAATGTTGGAACTTCTGGGGACATCTTTGTCTCCTGTGTTTCCTCTGTGTTTTTACAAGGGCTTATCTTGCAATATTTCCTGCAATTGTGAGTGCCCATTTGAGAGAAAAGGAAGTTGTTACTTTGCTGTGGTTGTTTTCTTCATGCAATCCATTCTTTTTTGTCCTCCTTCTCTTTCCTGTATTTTCATTGTGGATTGAGATATGCCTTTCAAATACCAGGTAATACTTAGTCAAGTTGATTCAGTTTGACTGTTTATGGGTGTTGACATTGGTGGAGGGTGATGTTACACTGCCTCAAGCTGGGCTGAGAGCTGTGAATCATTTGATTTATAAATGGTGTGGGCAGTACCCTTCTGAGTGTGTGAGAACCTGACCCATGCACCCATGATCATGCATGTGTCTGCTCACCAGGAATCTCCTACACTCTGCAGGGGTATCAGTCTTCACTATTTGGATGAAATCATTTTTATCCCCAGCATTACTTCACATGCTGTAGATGGCCTGGGCCTAAGGAAGCTGATAAGGTTGTTCCCATAGAAACAATGAGCCTCACAGAGCAAATTTGTAAAGTTCTCTAATTCTCTTCCTGCTTCTGATCTAACTGCAGATAGGTACACCAGCCCAAAGATACTTCAGCCCAAAAGGTCTCACCCATACTTCATATACTAATTTCTATTTGTATGGAAGGGGGTCTAAATACTGCCATTTTTTGAGACATGGATCCCCTTCCTGTATCACCTGGCATCAGTGCCAAATGGAGACAGAGCTCATGGAGAGCAGCTTTCTTTCTGCATGTTGCAAAGGTTTTGTTTTCCTTTAATTTCCTCTGGAAGCTAAAATTACTTAAACTTTTGGTGTTTATTCAGTTATTTGTCTGCCTCAATGACAACTCTTGATTGGCTGATAGGAACACTGATAGATTTGTAAAAGTCTCCAAATTGCAATAAATTTATAACATGGATAAGTTTATATTTTATTAAGGATAAGTCTTTGTTGGGTAACAATTCTTAATCCCATCAGTCAGCTTCTACAGTCAAGTGTTTCATCCTATGGGTTGTTGTCAAAATATTTAGCAAGAGATTTAGCAAGGTACCTGCAGAGCTAAAAGAATATCTCAGCACAGTTCCATTAACCAGTCATACAGTCATGAGCTGCAATTCTTCAGGAAATCAGGATTTCCTATTTTCACTGGTTTCAAAACTACTTCTGTTATCTTAGTATTTAAGAGCCTTTCTTTCAGAGGTGAGCTAGCCTGGGAAGCTTTCATAGAAAGAGGCATCTTGAGAAGAGGAACTGAACAAGAAGATGTCTGCTGTGAGCAGTGGGCATAGGAAGTAGCTCTAGACCTCTTCCCAGAAGAAGTTTCCTGGGCCACTTAAATATTTCACAAAAAGGATATCCAATGGGAGGGGTCAACTGTTAGCATTCAGGAGCAGCTTTGGCGTGTCCCACATACAGGGAATGGTGCTGGTATCACAGTTTGGGAACCCCACTGCCCAGTGTGGGAGCCATGTGGATATGCAAGAGGGAGTCTGTATGGAGTGAGGAAAGGATACAGATGTGATGACAGAGGTCTGTGCAGGAGCAAAGCCTCAAATAAGAGAATAAAGTGCACAGGATTTTTCAGGGTATGCAGTGTGGTCCAGGATCTTTTTGTTGGGGGAAGAAGTGATGCTGCAGCCCTAAATGAATCTAAGTTGCCTCTGTTAATTCCCACTGCTTGTAGGAATGAGATGGGTAGGTTTTGAGATCTTCTCTTGCCCTTTTCTCTTTCCCCATGTAGCATCTGCAAGGTCAGAAGATCATCTTCTGGAATGGCAGACTTGCATTCTCCTTTCATTTTGTTTGTTTGTTCCTGTCTGCAGTTTTGCAGAGGATGTAGTTCACATCTACTATGAGAGCGACGAGGTGGTGTGTGAGGACGTGGAGCTGCAGGCCTTTGTCAAAGACATTTACGTCTATGGAATGAGGGGTGTGAAAGCCTCAGGTAAGGGATGATGGCCCAGCAGGGTCTGCAGCTCCTCCAGTCCCTGCTGGCAGCAGTGCTGAGTGCACAGCACAAGTCAGAGACCTGCTCTCTTCTTGGGCTGAAGATGCTGGATTTTATTGTGAGACCCTGGCTCAGGCCATCTCTCAGGAGACAGCTCCTTCCTTTGACACAGATTCTCATAATGAGCTTGAGCAACTCATGTAATCTCTGCACACAGGGGGATGGGTCCTTTGATTTTGTCTGCTCATGCTTTTAAGCATTAGGGGCCCTGTCTGTGTGTGTTGCAGCCACCAGACAGACTGATAGACATCAAGGAGCAGTGAGGCCCCCTTAATCCTCTCCTCCAAACCTCACACTAAATAAAAACATGTAATAACCTCCCCAGGAGTATATTGCTGCACTTCACATTTGTTCAGCATTTGTGTCATCATTGAACTATTCTACTCTCTTCAAGAACAGATACTCATAATTTCCAAGAAATATTATCCTTTGCTCTGTCTCTTCTCACTGCCTCTCTTTTCTTGCAAGCCATGACTTGGCCATGGGAGCTCTCATCCCTAACATGCCTCAATTTGCCTACCTGAGTAAATACTCCTCTGTCATTCCCTAAACATGTTGCTTTTCTCTTACACACACATTTTTTCCAAGCAGATTTTCAGGAATTTATAGAGGTGTCTGGGGATTCTTCCTATTGTCCTGTTTGATTTAAATCTGTCAACACCTGTTGGCCAGTGACCTAGGGCAGATAGCTCTGGTGTTGCATGCACACATTGGAGTGCCAGATGTCCAGGCAAAGGTGTGATGTTTCCAGTCATTATGTTCTAGTGGATAAAAGGCTTCTGGGTTCTGCCTGGACAAACAAAGGTTGATTTTTTTTTTTGTCTAGCTGTCTCTTAGCAAAAGCTTAGAAATGTTGTTCCTCCTCATGCTTGACCTAAGCATTGTGATATGAGACAAGTACTGAGCCTTCCAGGGCTCCAGCTGGGGTGGGATGCTACAAGCACCACTGGTGGGGGGACTGCCACTACAGATGGGGAAACTAGCAGGCTTGCAGCATCTCTTTCTGCACTGCTGCTGTTCCAAGGGTTGTATCCTAGAGAATGGAGATTTGGCAGGGTCAGTAAAGAATGGGAGGAGGCTAAATGGGGGAGGCTCTGGCACCTGTTTCTTCCCTGAGAGGGCTGCTGTGATTGGGAGAATGCCAAACTCCTTTAAAGATGAGCACAGTATACTTAGACTAGCAGGACACAGGAGGGGATGGTGCATCCTGTCCTATTTGGGCTTGGTGGCTGGCCAGAGCTACTTCTTCCCTTTTGCAGGCTGAGGTGCAAAATATGGTGGTGGAGATATGAAGCAGCTGGCACAGGCAGCCTGGGGAGAGGCAGCTTGCCCCTTTCTGTAGGTATACTGGGACCAGTTATCACATTGGGCTGGGACGGAGGTACAGCACAGGACTGTGATTTAGTGAGGATAGGAGTGATACAGGGCTGGGGTTGCTTCAGTTGCAAAATATTTCCCTAGTCCCTGACTATTCTGTTTTTTCTTTATATAACTGATTATTCTCCTTCAAAGACAGCTTAATGCAACTATTTCTGTTCCTCATTCTGTTGTTTGTTTTTCAGAAGTTCTCATTTCCTCACTTCCCATTTCAGTGAATCAACTCTCCCTGCATTCTTTCTTGCAATACACTTGATTGCTGAACCTCAGACCTTTATAAATACAAGCACATGGTCGCTTCCTCCTTGGCATGAACCTTCCCTGCTCACACTGCAGACTGAAGAAAAATGGAGCATCTGAGGTCCCTGCCCTGGGGACTCTGGGAGTTCCTTGCTGCAGGGTAGGTAGGACAGGGACACTGGTTTTTAAAGGCATAATTATACTTTTTCTTTCCCTTATGGAAGAACACATACTTTGCAAACAGTGGTGATGCCTCACAGACTTGTATGAAATAAGGCTGTTTTTACAGCTGCACAGCCAAGGCACAGAGAGGTGAGGAGCTCCTGTTAGACCACACAGCAAGACTCATAGAAAGCCCTGCTCTTCAGAGACTGCTGCATGGCCCTCTAACCTGTGGTTTTTGATTACTGCTAGGGTGGCAGGGTTACTTCATTGCTGGGTCAAGCATTTCTTCTCCCTCATTTAGGGTTCCCTAAGATGATCAGGACACGAGAGACACTAGCAGAATATCTCACAGTGATCATGTTCACTACATCGGCTCAACACGCAGCTGTGAATTTTGGTCAGGTAGGAACTTGTGGGAGGAACTTCTTTCTGGGCTGGGAGGTACATCTACCAGGGCAGGGTCTGAGAAGCATTTTTTAGTAGATGTATTACAGAATTACATTACCTTTTTTCTGGTCAAAATAACTGCAGAGCCATCTACAAATCCCTGTGAAGTCTGGGAAATTGAAGTAATTTGGAAGCTGAGAAATGCATTGCAAGTCCTACATATGTACCAAAGATTAGATTAGGGGTTTTAACTAATATATTTTAGTTTTGTTGATTTTATTATGGGAATAATTTTTTTAAGCTTTTAAATGGCATTGCTGCTCATTTCTTGAGTTTGCAAACCAAGTGGCAACTTTGAGCATTCTCTATGATGTTTGATGTGTCACATACTGGTAACCTGTGTTATCCCTGCCTGCCTTGACTGACATATATCTGCCCTGAATCTGTAGTAACAACCTGCCTTTCAAATGCTGTTTCTTTCAACATCAAGGCATTTTGGAAAGCAGATTTAACAGCCAGAAGCAAATCACTTTGCCAGTCGCAGAGCTTTTTCACTGAGTGGGTGCTCAGTCCCTGGAGCAAACTCCCCAAGGAAGTAGTCACAATTCCATGGCTGTCAGAGTTCAAGGAGCATTTGAATGATGCTCTTAGTCTGATGGTTTAGTTTTAGGTAGTTCTGCAAGGATCAGAGAGCTGGACTAGGTGATCCTTACAGGTCCCTTCCAACTTGAGATATTCTAAGATTTTATGAGCTTTTTTTTTTTTGGCATGTTCTCACTTCAGGCATAGGTGGTCTCTGAGATATCATCTCAGAGATAAGCAGAGAGAACATCTTTCTTATGGTGGTTATTCCCAAATACCCTACATCACTTTTTATGCTGACCCTCCTCTCCACCCCTGCAGTTCAGGAGCCCTGGAGAAGATCTGGAAGCTGGTGTCTAATGAACTCACACTATTGCTATGACATGTCCATGATCAGGGACCTCTGCAACTGTTCCCTTCTAACTTATCTTCGCAACTGATTGAGACAACTCCCAGTGGCCCCCTCAGAAAATCCTGTCTGTTCAAGTACCGCCAAGAAACCATCTCTTAATTTGGCATACAGAGGATGTGCAGCCCATCAGTAAAAGGATCTTTAGCCATGGAACCAAAAGGCAGAGAGGGCTGAGGGGAGGAGGAGGTAGCTGTGCACTGCCCCTCAGGGATATGTAAGAAGGTCATGAAAAAGTGCAAGGGAAAGAAAGGGTTCTGGTAACTGCAGCATCTTGGTGGTGGCAAAACTCAGGGTCATATCTGAGGCAAAATGAGACATCAGCATCTCACTGCACTGAACCAGGCCAGAAGTGACTATGAGTTCCCAGTCTGCTGCTCACCTTGGCCATATCTGCATGCCATATTCCATATTTCTTAATGAACCAGCATGCTTTATCTCTGTTGGTATCTGACCACATGGGCATTCACTGTGGGCATGTTCTTGGAGGAAATTTAGCATAAAAGAGAAGCTGGAGTAAAGGCGATCGCCTCAGGTTGTCAGAAGGGAACTTTGTTTAATAAAATATTTAAGGCCTTAGCCAGTCTGCTGAATTTGGGCTGTGTGGCACATGCCTGTGGTTAGCAGAATAAATTCTCCCATTTAGATTACCCAACTCTCTCTTGTGAGTTCCTGAGCAAAACAGTAGGGACTTCCTTGTCACCTCCAGTCCTTCTCTAGAACTTCCCTGTCATTAAGTGTCTTCTCTTTCTGAGGGGCTCCTATTACAAAAGCAAAGTACCTGTTGGCAAACTCCTGATTTTCTTTGGTGTGTTCCTAGGCACCAGCCACTGCAGGTTTTCATTGTGGTCTCTTGCTCTGTTGTGCAGTATGACTGGTGCTCCTGGATTCCCAACGCCCCACCAACAATGCGCTGCCCTCCTCCAACAGAAAAGGGCACAGTCACCATTGAGCAAATTGTGGAGAGTCTGCCAGACAGGGGACGTTCTTGTTGGCATCTTGGAGCTGTCTGGGCCTTGAGCCAATTCCAGGACAAAGAAGTAAGTCAACCTCCCTGCTCTAGGTGCTGGAGATGTGAGACCATGAGGGCCATGGCAAGACTGCACAGACTCATGAGACTGTAGTGCTGCCCTGTGCTTGACTTGGCCATTTTCACCTTTCTGTGGAGATGTGTCAGTGCTGGGGCTTTGCCTGTGTTCTGCCAGATGCAAACCAGCTCTGAGAAAGAAGTTGTATTTTTAATTTTTACTCTGATGCTGTCTCAGCTATAATCAAAGTTTTTAAGCTTGAGCATGGCATTGCTTAAAAAGGATGCTGGTGTGGGAGGCAGAGGGCTGCAGAGGCATAAGGGCTGTCCCTGCAGTGCTGGGGAAGAAGGTAGAGCAGTGCTGTGTCCCCATGTCCCGTTCCTTTGGAAAATCTGCTCCAGTGCCATATGTGCTACAGCTGTGGCTTGTGGCTGGCAGGTGAGGAGTGAAAACAAAACAAGCCTACAGAAGGCTTTGCAGGCATGTAAAGCCATGCATGGCTACAGGTCTGCAGCCATTTCCCTGATGTAAAATAAGGTTGTCAGTACCTGGTTGTTTCACACAAGGGCTCTGGAGAATGTGTTTTGAAATCCTTAAATAGGAGATGGTGGACAGAGGGTAGGGTACTTTAAATTCAGTTTCTCTGTAAAAAGAAAGCAGTAACTAGCAGAGAAGCTTGTACTATGGGAAATAGTTCCCAAAGTGCCCAAAGCAATGCCAGTGTGCATATTGGCAGTGCACTTTTCAGAGCCCCCTTAGAGTCCAAGCTGACTAAAGCAACTGTCATATTGAACTCTGAAAGACAGTTTGAAGTCAACAGAATCTTCCACTGTCGCTGAATGAAGTAGTCATTTTCCTTTTAAACCTCTGGCTGTGAATTCCCCTCTAATGCTATCCTTTCTTCTAGCAGCATAAATGTTTGTGTGGCTGTACAGAGGTCTGGCATAGGAAGCTCGTCTGACTGATCACTGCCTGAATAAAAGTGCATGGTTTTCAGTGGATGAGGTCTCTTTAGGTCAAGGAGTGCCATGTAGACACCTGAACCAGCACCACAGAAAGATGCAGGGATGGAAAGAAGCAGCCAGCAATAGAGGGAAGGTGTAGGCTAGCTTAAGTATTGATAATACTATTTTAATAGAAGCATTTGTGAGGAGAGGCTCTGGGTGGTGTTCTGCCAAATGGCATAATATTGACAACTAATTGCCTTTGCTTTCTCAAAGCCTGGTTTCTTGGTGTTTTTCAATCAGCTGTTCCTGGGCATGTACCCAGATGAACACTTCGTGGAGAAGCCAGTGAAAGAGGCTATGGCAAAATTCCGCAAGAATTTGGGTGAGATTGTCAACTCCATCACCGAGCGCAACAAGAACAAGAAGCTCCCTTACTACTACCTTTCCCCAGATCGTATTCCCAACAGTGTTGCTGTTTGAACACATAGCCAGGAGAGTTTGAAGGCCTGTAAAGCTAATGATGTTTTTCTGTTATATGCTTCTTCAATTAGCTTTTCAGAAATGGATAAGAAACCCACCCTCTCCATCAGAGCTTGCTTAAGTCTATTTGAACTTTCGAAATAAATTGGGTTATGACCAATCTTGCAAACAAAATCTAACTGACAGCCCTCTAGGTCAAATTTTTTACAATTTGTTATTTTTTCAGGATTTTAAAACTAATCTTAGAATCAATAGACATGTCTCTAAATAGATATGTTATCTTTCTCTCTCCTTGTCAAAACAATGTAATCACAGATTCACTTACGCAATGGAAATAGTATCATGAGCAATAAGCACGTCACATTTTAAAATCCTTCCTGTTTTTAATAGGTGACACTGGTGACATAAAAAAATATCACTTTTAAAGTTTATGCATTGTTTCAAATCTGATTAATGTGAAGTATTTTCATTACCATCATGAATATCCTAATCAGGACGAAGGTAGAAGCAGGAAATTTTTTTGACATAGCTGATGGGGTTTTATCGCTTTCTTACCAAGTTCATGGGAAATGACATCTCATAGGAGATGAAAATTTTGTACCTTCTTAAACCTAAGTATTTTCTACATAAAACTTGGAAGGTTTGTTTTAGCCTCTGCCATCAGAGTTTGATGTCATTCACATGTAGGGATAAATGTTCTACTCAAGGCCGTGTCAGCAAGTACAGACCTATGCTCAGTTTGTTTCATTGCTGAGGCTGCAGGGATTTGCGAGCAGTTTCTTCTGTTTTGTGGGGAATTAAGAGGCTACTTTGTATAATGGAAAAATTTGTGGAAAAGGCTTAATTGACAGCTTCTAAGAGGAATCTTTAGATTTGGCCAGTTAAACATGACTGACATGTTCCATCTTAGTTATAAACCACTGAGTTTTGTTTTGTTTAGAGGTGTTTGTGTTCAAACACTTGGGCTCTGGTAAAAGTTGAGAAAGTCACTGAAAAAAGCAAAATTGAGGTTTGTGAAATTTAAGTTGTGGTTTTGCTGATTAGAATTTGGGTTTTTCTGAGAATTTGTTCCTTGTACTTGATCTGCCAGCATGCAGTGTGCTTTCTCAATAGATAAGAAAATTTCTTGTGCTAATAAAAAAAACCTGAACATCTAACTTCTATTTCCTAATTCAGCATTTAATACTATATGTCTCAAAAACCTTGTAGGAATAAACAAAATGTGCTGTGTAGAGAAATGAAGCTTATGTCATTGACAAATATAGTTATTTCTATCATTCATGTGTAATTTGGAAAATAGTACTACTAAAATATGCATCCTTTCATATGAAACAGATATGAAAACTGATTTTAGACCATTTACAGCAGACTGATTCCTGTTTCTTGCCCCCAACCAAAGACTTCAAGAAAAATGTAGAAGGTAAAACCATTTCCTATTATTCAGTAGTACACTTATGACATATGCATCATCTTCTCACTGCAGCCCATGAGAATTGATGAGTGTAGAAGCAGAGTAGGGCAACATGGAACAGGACCAAGGAATCAGAGAGAACTTGTGAGCCCACTGCCTCGAAAAGTGCAACTTAAATGCAACAAGCTGATGCAATATATCCAGCATGCTAGCTCTGACTTTTGTCTTTCTGCTATGTAAAGAGAATGTCCTCTTGCTTCAGCTTTCATTTGATAATGATTTGCATAGTCAAGTATTTTTTATAAAACAAAATATGGAAGGAGACTGGTGGATGTTCTGTCACATCTGTGCACTCTGCTGTAGCCTGTGGACCTGGGATACAAGTACAGTTGATGGGAGGTTTGGGGAATTGAGTATATAGCTTTGAAAATTGGCATTAGCATGTGATTCAATGGCAGGAAAGGCTGTGGAAAGAGGTAAAGATACTAAAACTAATACTGGCACCAGAAAAGAAGCAGATACCTGCAAATAGTAAAGTGCTTACATTTCCAGGGGGTGTGCATGTTGCTGTCCCACTCTCAGCTCTCTTTTCAGCTTGTCTCCATCTCTCAGAAAGTCATGTTCCTGTGCACAGGCCATGGGTTCCTTCCCCACGTCTTTAGCCATGACTTGCTCAGAGCTGTCTCCTAAAGTCACGGCACTAAGGTACAGTACCCACTTGCAGGTTCCCTCCTAGGTGGAAATGAAAGTATCAGCTGTCTCTGAAATGTGTCATGCACTCAGCTTATGACAGACATTACAGCTTGATGTGCATCGCCCCAGCTCTGCCAGGGTTTGACAGCCAGTCGCTCGTGTCTTGGCTGGATGGCTGCTGCTACTGGCCAGTCCAAGGGAATGTAGCCTGACTCTGCAACTCAGCCTCCCGTGCTGGAAAATCAGTTGCAGTGATTCTCAACTGGCTGAAAGACTGAACTAGTTCCAGGAAGTCCTTCCAGCATATCTGAGCCTGCTTTCCTCTTTTTGCAGGGTGAATTTAACTCTATAAACTACTCTTTGTAGGATTGTCCCTTTCTCAACCCCCAAACATACCTTGCAATAATGTGATTCTCACTGCCCCAAAAACAAAGCCCTTCTATTTCTTAGTCATCCCATATGAAGTAAGCTACCCTTTCCCCATCAATCCCCATTTTACGTGTGGGGAAATGGAATAAGAGCAATGAAATTCAGTAGATCAGCTCTGATTTGATGTTTTTTTCTTTACAGAGAGACTGTGAGAAAGCTGTGTATCTGAAGCATGCTACTTTTATCCTTCTAGAGAGCGGACAGCAAGTTCAGGCTTGGTTGCTCAGCATTACTTGCTCTGTTGTGTGTTGAGCAGAACATAAAATAAACTCCCAAAGACATATTTCTAACTAGCAAGCTTCAACCAGCAACTGTCCTTTCCTGCTACAGTCATAGCGACATGGTATCCTGGAAGAAATTGCACACACTGAGATAGTATCACCAGGGCATAGTTTGCTTTATTTATACTATAAAAGGCATAAATATTGCACAATCTGATGTGTCTGGTACATTTAGAGGTTAACTGAGTCATGGGTTTTTATGGCCAGAAGACAGGGGTTTGATTGCTTGGATGATTTCACCATAACACAGACATTTGGATTTCCCTCTTCAAATTCAATACAGGGGTGCTGTAGATCCTACAGATCTAGGAATCATCTGTGAACACATCCACTCACGATGCACCAAAACATGATTCACCCTGGTGCTTGAGACACTTGTCTCACTGGTGAATCCCTCTGAATCCCTCATGCTGTGAAAGATAAATGCTGTGTTTCTAGTTCAGTGTGCATTCTAGCTTCACTTCTTGCACCAGATGGCATGCTTCTTGCAGCAGCCTTATGTGACTGAAAATCCTTCTCTGACCATGTTCCCTACTACTTCCCCCTTTTTTTTTTTTGATATACTGAATAATTTCCTGGGTCTTTTGCTGTAAGACTTACTTTAAACCTCTTATCTGTTACCACTGTGTGCACAGTGTGTGGGCAGATCACAATGATGATTAAATGGCTATTTCAGTCATTATTTCATAGGCTGCATTTCCTCATGCTTGCAGCTGTGTAGCTGCAGTTTTTCTGTAGATTTTTGTCACAAACCACATGGCAAATTGTCTGTGTTACTGAACAAATTTCCTGTTTGCACATATGCAAGCAGCGGACAATACCTTCAGTAAAAGAAATATTGAGTGAGTTGTTCAAATATTTCCTTCTAAGAGTTGAGTGGGAACCTGGACTTCAGTAGATCTCTGTCAAGCTTCAAATTCAGCATATCGTATATCCAGCAGCCTTTTAACTTTAGATTTGCAGTATTTAAAATTCAGTACTTGGTGATTAGGCTCATAATTACATAGCAGAGTTACTGTAGAATCATAGAGTAGTTTGAGTTGGAAGAGAACTTGAAGATCATCTAGTTCTAACCCCCTGTCATGGAGAGTTCTATCATCCAATGCTAGAAATGTTTAACTTGTATTTACCTTAATCAGGGTTTGCTCAAATGTTAATTCAGGCTTTTGGCTACCTGCATAGAGCAGAATACAGCAGAGGTTTCTGGAGAGCCTGGCCAGCCTGTTCCATGGAGTTCTGCAAGATACAGCAGAGGAAAGCCTTGAACTCAGTGCATTACCACAGTCTGTGTCAGCAGTGGGAATTAAACTGAGAACATCCTTAATACAGGACACTGGAGAACCATTTCTTTCCCAACTTGGTGCTTCTTCGTAGAGCTCTTCCTTCACTCTTCTGTACCTTGTCTGAGCACCTCCCTCACATGCATGAAGTGACTAATGTCATGTGCAGTCTAACAGCTGTCCCGTGTCAATCCTCCCTCTCCACTTGCTGCCTTTTCAGGAGAAATCCCCATAGGCAAGGGGTGTGTTGGCCTTCCTGCAGACTTGGCAGCCGAGCCTCTGAGTCCTTTTGTCTCTGTGGGAAGTACAGCAGTGTAAGAGCCTCTGTCTCTGGGGCAGCTAAAGCACTGGGTGATTATCATCTCATTTAAATGGCTGTAGAGACTTTATAATGCAGCATGCTATAGTTACAGCCTGCTGCTCTCAGATGGATGTTTTGTTTCATTTCACCAATAAGTTGAGCCATACCATTTGTCTCAAAGATACTGCAGTCATGACAGCAAGGGGGCTCTGTTTCTGCCCTCAGGCAGTGTCAAATAAAGACTCCAACCTTTATTTTCTTTCTGGTTCTAGGGTCAGATCTAGACAAGCTACAGGACGTAATAAGCCAGTTCTCACTCATCTGTGAGGAAAATATTGTAGGGGTCATTGTCAAAGCCGGTTAGTAACTTCTCAGATCTGTTGACTTTATAAATATCTTTTTTGCATGTTCTTGAGAGCAGTGATCTGTGGCACTGTCTGCTGCCCCTCATATCTACTAATGGTCAGCAACCATCAATCTTCAACAGTCATCAATAATCAGCATTAACCACTATTCTCACAATTGTAGGATAATCTGTCTGATGATGTATTTACTGATAAGCAGACATGCATGGTGACAAAGCCAGCCTGATATGCTGATGATCAGGCATCACAAACTGTTTGGGTGAAGCTTTGAACAGTCTGGCTTTGTCTGGTGCTTGCCTGGTCACCGCTGAGCTTTAAATGGCAGAAGAGCTGTGTTTGGTCAGGCCTAAAACAAGCAGATCTGGTTTGCCTGGCCCTGTGGAAACAACAGGTCAGAGGCAGACTTCCTACCCTCCTGTGTTTGTGGGAAGTGTGTAAGTGTTGCCTGATTTTCACTTGGCCACTGCATTTGACCCAACATAAACATACCCATTTAACAGGTTTCATAGTGGACTACACAAAATCAGATGTGATTTTGGCATGAAGAAAAATGGTTTTTTACATTTTAACCTAAAAGCAATGGATTTACACCACTGGAATCCTACTTAAGCCTGGGTTGTATCAGTATATTCAAGCTGTTTCAGCAGCAGCATTTCACAGCAGGTTTTTCTTGTTTGGGGAAAAGAAGGCCATCTGGAAGCCTTCTCCTTCCCAGGAGCTGTGCTGCTGAAACATTATTTTTCTGGCATCATTAGAGTCAAAGGCTAATGAGTGGTACATGATTTAAAAGTGGGAACACTGGTACTTCTGTCTGCATAGATGGAAGTGAGTAGAAATAATTAACAAGCATGGCCAAGATTTACTGATGTTTCTTCTCCCTTTGTTTTACAGGACTAACTTGACAGCAAAGATATTAATAGTTCTTAAAGCATGCATGAGAAATGTTTCTGGAAAGAAAATTTTCTTAACAGTACTTGTATCTCAAAAGGAAATCAACAGATGTAGTAATAGTAGGATGCAGGAGGCTTTGCAAAATCCATGTACTGGAAGCAGAAGGTCTGAAGAGAGCAGGGTCAGAGAAGATTTGAGCTGCATTTGGGTGACCCACAGAAAGGTCTGAGGCTTTGCTGAAGTAGTGGATCGTATTGAGATGTACAAATTGATTGAAGCAGCTAATGACAAAAAGTCTTTCCATAATGTTTTTGGGAGTTATAGAGGTGGAGATCCATGAAGTAAGTTTGGGAATAAGCTAGCAGCTGACCCACAGTTCAGATGAGTTCTGGATGAAGGTTCTTGGCTCTGTTCATGTGAAAAATCTCCCAGAACAGGTGTTACCAATCATGAAAGGGGAGTCTGTGCTTTAGCATTTGACCCAGTGTGTGGAAAACTGCCAAAGGAGACTCAGTGGGACTGACCACATGTGATGGGTCAACACTAAGAATTCAAGACTTTATAAACACTGACATCTTGTGAAATCAATTCCTGAAAGACCTCAGAAATTATGTGAATCATAGTGTCATAGAATATCCTGAGTTGTTAGGAGCCCACAAGGCTCACTGGGTCCAAGTCCTGGCTCTGCATAGAACTACCCTGTGAATCACACCACATGCATGAGCACGTTGTCCAGTTGCTTCTTGAACCATATATAAATACAATAATAATAAAAATATATGAAAAGAATAAAAGGTGTCACAAGCAGATTGTTGTCCGAAGGCTTCAGCTGCTTTCAGAAACATGCAGTGCAACCTCACTGCAATGGTCTGAACTTCCCTGTTCACGTTTCCTTTACCTTTGGCACATGCTGTGCTGGAAATGGGAGCACCACAGAGAGGAGGAGGGAGCTTGTCCTTTTTGGCGAGATATCGCTCTGAACAAGTTACTGGGGAGACTTTTGCAAGAGTCATGTATGACTTGGCACTGGTAGACAGTTAAACACACTTTATTTAAAAATCTGAAGACTGACAAAGACCAATGAGGGATAAATTAGGAGCAACTTTTTGGACACCTATGCCCAGGTGTCAGCATACAGCTTGTACATATATAAAGAGAAATAGGCTTACTGGTATGTTTGCCTGGCTGTTGCTTCAGGCAACTTCAAGAAAAGTGATTCACACAACATACTTCCAGTGAAGCATGAAAGCCTCTCTGTTGAGTGAAACAGTGCTTTGGTTTGGTTTCATATCACTTTATCTCTTTTAAAACTTAATCTGCTTTATCAATAGAATCACTTAAATGCTGTAGTCAAAATCATATCAAGAGCCAATAGCTAAGGAGAGAAAAATTTAAATAAGGAGGCCTTGTGATTGATTTATCATTTTTGCACTCAGTCTGGCTGAATCTTGAAAGATTATGCTGGCAGTCTAACAAGCAAAAATTCATTGTTCTTTAGAGATGGTCATGTCAAACTGCATTAGTTTATGGTTTCATAATTTGTAAATGCACATTTTAACAGGAGAACCCAGTTTAAAGGACTCAGCAGAATAAGGAAAAATTCTTGAATGACTGAAAAAAATATAGTGGATGCAGTTATATATCTGCAGTTTTCTGTGATACTTTATGGTTTTGTTTATTGCTTTTGGTCTCGTTTGATCTGCCAAAGTTTATCTGTCTCTAGGCCTTCCAAGATAAATGTTTTCACTATGAGTAAATTCACTGGGAAAAAAGTGTGTGTAAAACCAGGTTTCCTGTTAGTAACATGCGTGGTACAAGTAATGAATGGTATTTTCACACCAAATTCTCTTAGGCCAGTGACATATCGCAATATATTTTGGATGTAATTTTGGTTTTCCAAATCTTGGGCCATGTAAAGGTGGAAAATGTCACTTGTTTGTTCCTGTTGCAAAGTTAAATCACCACACTGTTCTTTTACTCCTTTTACTCTTCAGTCATTCACATAGCTAATTAAATTCACAGGATCAGTAAATGCAACATTTTTTTCATTGCAAAGAGTGCAATTCTCCAGTCCTTCCTTTAAAGTCAGCTGGCTTTCACCAAGGTTTTTGAAGGAGGAGCTTCGTCCTGTATTGCCATAACAGGTAAGATTCAAATTTTGTCCTTTTCTTCATAAATATGACAGCATTTTGCCACTAATGGTGTTGATTTTCAGGCTCTGAAAATAACTTGTAACTGCTTGTGTGAGTTGGTGTCACCCAGATCGAGCCATATGACCAAGATGGCCCTTCACACACTGAGCACGTGAGAACATACTGGCAATAAAAGAAATCATGCACTGCTTCCCCATGCCCCTGTGCTGTGAGGGCAGAAGGGGTATCTGTGAGAGCTCTGCCAGCGCCCCGTGTCCCCAGGCACGCAGTGGCTGTGGCCTGACTTCCCATGCCTAGAGCAGTGGCAGGGGACAACTGTGCATTCAGACCTGGAGGGGAGGTAAGAGAGGGCAGATGTGATGCAGCTGTGGGAGAGTTTTGACTTCCAAGGGTCTGGATGTGAGCCAGTGAAGAAAACCAGAGAGAAATACCTGACACAAGTGTGATGTGAATCCTGATACAAACTGCATGCCTTTAATACTGTGGGTCTTCCATGGGTTGTCACTGGCATTCTCTTGCAGTCCTGGAGCCCAGCTTCTTTCAGGTGGAAGGTGGTTTGGTTTGGTTTGGTTTGGTTTGGTTTGGTTTGGTTTGGTTTGGAAGGAGCTGTGTGACTGTGTTTAGCTAGGCTGCTGTGCTCTGGGAGGTCAACGGGAAGGCTGAGAAAAAGAAACTCTCTCTTCATAGCAAAATGATGAGATCAGAATTTTCTAGAGTGTTTTATGATAGATTTATGAAAAGAGAGTCACAGTGGCCATGACCTCTCAAATTCCAGGTGTGGGTCCTTGTGGGGGATGGGAAGGAGTGCTGGAATTCTTGGAGGGATAGTCATGGGGCAGGCACATCCCTGGGGGAAGTACCACAGGGTGTGGGGCAGCCAGAGAGAGGTACCTGTGGTGTGACTCCTTCCATCTGGGACAGGGCACCTGAAACAAAGAGGGAAGGATGTTGAGGGGGCTCAGAGCACAATCTTGGAGTGGGAATGGTCATGGCATAGGTGAGGATCACACAGAGAGGAGTTAGGACAAGTGTCATGAGAGATGAGTGAAACTGAAGCACTGCCCAAAGCTGAGCAGCAAGAGAAGCTGGAACACCAGAAGCGAAGCAGCCCTGCAGAGATGCAAAGGAGAGTTCTGGAGAACTGCTGGAGCCCCCAAGGGGCCCTGTGGGGTGGTGGGGACTGCCCTGGCTCTGGACTCTGAAGCAGTCAGATGTTCTTGTCACTGGTGCCCTCTGCTGCTGCTCGACTGTGGTAATATTTCTTAGAAACATTTCTTGTTCTTTGCCAGCACTGTTAATGTTTTCCACCTGGTAAGCAGAGTGCTCTGGCATCTCACTGTGGGATTTCTAAGAAACTATGTGAAGGCATGGAGATAGGATTTTATCTTTTGATAGAGTTTTACTTCTGAGAGCACTAAGGTCCTATTTCTTTACATCTCAGCAATTTGTGCAGTTGTCCCTAGTAATCCCTGCTGGTCTGCTTTCCTTTGGAATCAGCACTGAGCTCAGATTCAGATTTTCCAGGAGCTTATGTTTTCACCTGGACATGTCTGACATTCCCCTGGTACAGTGATTTTTCTAGTTTTAATCACATAGTCATGGCTTTACATGACTGACTGCTATTGACTGTGTCCCTCACTCAGTGGTTATCAGTATAAAAACACTCAGTCATTTTGTGTAGACACCATTCCCATGCCTTGGGTGGGTGTAGCATTTTGTCTTGATGAATAGTCAACAGGTTCCATTATCTGAGATCATAAAATATGTTGGTGACATTTGCTGAAGTTGTCCCAGCACTTCATCCAGCTACAACCACACAGAAGACTCTCTTCCTTTCTCAGGCACAGCAGGAACACCAGAGCAGCAGTTTCTGGAGCCAGGTGGAGCAAGGAGAGCCCCATGTTGGCAAAGGCAGTCCCACAGCAGCAATGTGGCCGTGAGGTATCAGTGTGGGGCCTTTGGGGCTATCACAAGCTCTGTGACTGCAGCAGTGCTCTCAGGCACAGCATGCCACCAACCAGTCAGCCCCTCATTCTGTCTCTACCTGCATCTCCAGAATTTCGCAACTGAAATCTGCCACTCTCTTTGTGCTTCATTTGATAGCCAAGGTTGAAAGTCAGTTATCATATTGTAGAGAGGTCTTTTTGAAGATGATGGAGGCATTACTGGATGTTTCTGCCACTCTCTTTGTGCATCTTTTGATAGCAGCAAGTGCCCAAACATTAGTGTGTGTGGTGGCAGAAACACGAGATTATAGGAATCAAGTTTACATTTGCTCATTTTATAAAGTGTCTGTTTGTGCAGATCCCTTGCAAAAAGAGTGGTCAGAGCAAAACAGGGAGAGAAAGGTCAATGATCTTATCTCTGAAAGGAGAGATAGAAACCTCAGAAAAGGAATATTCTTTGTCTAGCTCCACAGAGCAGAATGATTTTCAGCTTGTTATCAATGGGCTTTCTCTACACTTATTTGACTTTCATAATCATATCAGAACTGGATCATGGCTTTTCCTTTCCCAGGAGCCTGCCAGGCCAAGGTTGAAAGTCAGTTATCATACTGTAGAGAGGTCTTTTTGAAGATGATGGAGGCATTACTGGATGATTCTGCTCTTGTTCATTCCCATGCTAATCCAAAGTGTTTCTTCTGAATTGAATTTTTGCATATCTATATCAGTGTCTTGGAGTAAAGAGTCCATTCTTATACTGAGACATTTTTAGATTTATTATCTGGTGTCTGCATTTGTCATTTCTTGAGCTGGGGTCCCAGACAAGAAGGTACAAGAGGATCCTTCTAGGTGGACAGAGGAATGAGACTTAACTTTGGAGCCTTCCTGCTGCTAAGTCCATCCTTGAGTAGGGAAATCACCGTGTAGCTGTAACTCTTTGCATGAAGTGTTCCGTGGTAGTGGCTGCTGTGTCTGCATTCCAAGGAGCTGAGCGGCAGTGGAGAGAGGAGGAACCCTTCAGCCACATTTACCATATGGTTTTAGAGTTAGACCCTGGTCTTGCACAAGCTTCTGGCAATGTTTTAGACCCTGCAATCCCCCTCAAGTCCAGCTGTGGGAAAGAAGTGATCTTTATTCCTCCCAGCAAGACAAGTGGGAAGAGATGGTTTATGCATTTGAGGCATAAATAGGAGCCCAGCTGCTTTCAGGGAGACTGGATGGTAAAGTAATACTGCCATTAACTGTTTTTAATGAAATAAAGATGGAAAACCCCCCAGCTGTTGGATCTCTGCAAATCCCTGATTCATTGCCTATGAAAATTCCAGCATGGCCAGTACCAGCCAGGAGAGGCCACTGGGATCTCAAAACACTCGTTGGACTGAACAGCAACAGGATATCCTCTCTTTTGCATCCTGCTATTCTGATCATGAGTTATTAACAAAGCAGCCAAGCAGCAGAAAATGTTCATTTCTCAAAATAAGATAGTACCAGTTAACAAGTATTCACCCAATCATGGTTTGGTTTGGTTTGGTTTGGTTTGGTTTGGTTTGGTTTGGTTTGGGATTATGTGGGTATTCTTTGGGGTTTTTTTGGCTTGGGTTGGTGGTTATCTTTTTCAGGATTGGGGTTTTTTTGCCATAGGGCATCTACCAGCTCTTCAGTGGTCTGTTACTAATGACACTATTTCTTGTCTGGCCAGGAGAACACATCAGTGGTGGGCAGGAACCCAGCCACAGCCTTTGCAGCCATAATGCAAAGATTTTGGTTTTGTTCGCTTTCAAATAGCACTTTTAATGTTAATATATCAGTACATGACCTTTGGGAATAAAAATAGGCAATTTTCTCTGCTGAAACATGATTGTGACCACTGACAAACAGTTGGGTTGGGTTTGGGGGGATTTGAGAAGGGGTGTGTGTGTGGGTGGGTGTGTGTCCCTGTTTTTTGGGTTGGGGATTTTTTTTTTTTTCAAAATTTCTTTATGGATTTGGATGAAAACTGGGCTAAAATACCAGTATTTATTCCTGATGAAGAGATAAAATTCTGTTCCCCCACTTCATCAACTCTCATTAATAACATCCTGAACTGTACAGCAACACACAGCTGAAAATGCATGTGGAAGTGTAAGAAGGGCCAGGCACCAAGCCTGGGCCACACCAAGGTTCCATCTGTGCCAAAGGCTGTCTGGCAGTGGCTGGGAATGTGGCATGAGATGTGAATGTGTGTGGCACACGCTTCTGGCAGCTTGCAACAGACTCTGTATTGACAGTGGAAGAGTCAAAAGGTGGCGTTTGGGAGAGAGGACAAGGCTTTGCTCATCCCTGCAGGCACAGTCCTAGAAGGGGACAAGGAGAAGGCTGAGTGAGAGGCTGCAGCAAGAATTTCAGCTGTGTAACTCGTGATGGGATTAATTGGTTTGTTCATGAGATTAAGGGTGTAATTCTTAGGTTGAACGGGAGACGGAGTTGTTTTGCATTAGATGGCAGCACTGAGAATCGGCCTAAGGAGAAATCGCTGTCTGACAGGCTCTTTTCAGGAGCAGCCTGTAACATGGAAAAGAAGTCTGGATCTCAGGCATTAAAACACTGTGAGGACATCCATCACCTCGGGGCACAACGTGATCAATCTCTTGGTACAATCGCTCTGTCAAGGAGCACATGGCTTTCAGCACAAGCTCTAAATGAGCATCGGCCAGGTTTGTCCAGATTTCTGTAGCCGATCTGCAGGCTGTGCATGTCCCAGTGCTGCTGGCTCAGGTGTGGTCCATATGCCCTCCCTCCACTGCTGCAATCACATTGCACATGGCCATTTGTTGTACCGCACATTGCCACCACTCAGGAAAATAACGTGCCTGGCACGGAAAGAAAGAGGATCCACAGAGCACCTGAGGAAGCAGCACATCTGCAGCACCTCACCTTCTCCTGCACAAAACTTGCTTAGCAGCCATCTGGAGAAATCACTTTTTTTATCCATGACAGTGTGAACTCCTCCCTGGACTTGGGGTAAGCCAGCCAGCAGTAGAAAAGTAGCTGAGGAATGTCCCATTGACTGTGGAGCCTGTTATTTAATTTTCTGAGCTACAAGAGAAGGCCCGTATATATTTTTCCTTGGAGGGTTGAGAGGAAAAAGGAGAGAGGTGAGAGAAACAGCATATAAAGAAAGGAATTAATATTAGCTTTTTGATTCCCTCCCCTTGAAATTTACTTAACCCAGCCCACAGACATAAGGAACTTACCATATTATCACACCATAGAGTGAGACTATATATACATGATTCTAGTATGTTCAAATTTCCTTTTATAGCAATAAAAAATTAAATTAAAAGACAATGGCTGAAGCAAGTAGTTTAGAATCCTTTTTAAATTGGTATGCCATGGCTATACATTATCCAGCTAGCTGTATTTATTTTTATAAATATATGCTTTGCCTCATTTAAATTTGTTTGTTACTTTCAACTGCTCTTTGTATTAGCCAGGATATATTTCCCTTAGGGGCAGAAGGGGAAGGACCTCAGAAGTGCCTCCTTGATCTTTGTAAATCCCTTTCTTTCCAGTAGCACAGCGTGTCTTTCCATGGAATGAAATGGGACCCCGAGCCAGGGCACCTACCAGTATCTCTCCTTCCTGCTGGCTTTCTGGGCTCATGTTTTGCTTAGAGTCTTCTCTTTTCTTGGCCTCCAAGTACAGAGTATCTGAGACATTCAAAGTTCAGGACCTACTTTTAGGGGTTGGACTGATGATTTTCTGCCTAGACAGGCCTTTGCCGTCACATGATTTGCCCCAGGTAGATAGTTATACCTGGATCAAGTAATAAATAATAATCCATCCTTAATAGCTCTTAGTCTAATGAGTCAATATACCTTACATGAAAGGTGCAATGAAAAAGGTCAGGGAACACTGAAAGAGGTCATGGAAGTTAATTTTCAGCGAAACCTATTTACAAAGTCTGATGTTGGAACCTTTCAGGAAATTCCTGGATTAACTGAGTTCATTAAGAAACATTTAATCAACTTATTTGCACTGATGAATCAAATATCCTTCTTGCCAAGTCCTTGTGAAATACTAGATAAGCTGTGCAATGTTTGTTTTGCTTTTAGCAGCTGTGTCATCTGAGCTGTTCAATACTAAGAGAATGTTTTGTACAGTACCACATGTGGATCACTCTGCATCTTTTGCCATAGCCCTGGGAGATTTACTTCAATTAATAATTTTATGTGAAAGTCACAGAGAAAGAAAGAAGAGGTACCTACCCAGATATTTTATTTTCTTTTTTTTCCGACAATTTTTCATTGAAATATCATATGCTTCACAGCTCTTAAGTGGGAAAATAAATCATAGTTAATGTGCTCCTCTTTCACTATTCCAAAAAAGTGAAAAAGGATAGGGGACATCTTTCATGTATATGAGAGAGAATGCATTAGGCATCACCATTTCCAGAGGAGGTGATATGTGTAGGAGAAGGTGATGGTTGGGAGGGGGGAACAGCCTCTTTCACACTTGAGGGAGGCAGGGATGACACAGGAAGCAGGAGAGTCTTTACATGGGCCCTTTGTTGGGGTCACTTCTTGGGGTTGTGTTTTTTTCATTTCCCCCTTTATCTTCTCAAGCCACTCTGTGCTTCCGTCTCTGTCAGGACTGGAAGGTATGATGAAGGTATACATTTTATCACTTGGTGTCAGAATCAATTACTGGTTTTTTTGTGTTTTAAATGCCTGCAATATCATCTGTTTCCTTTATGGCTGTAGTTATTTTATATCATTACATGTTAACAAAGGTTTTGTTACTTGATGATTACTGAATTCTTTTTGAATTTTAAATTATTTTGTGAGTTTTTCTGTTATCACTTTTCTTTATGATATGCGCTGTTTTCAGAGCATACAGACGTAAATTATATGCTTCCACGATTTTTTGTGATGATGATAAGTAATTTTCTAAAGTTGCAGAATGCCTCTAGCGAAGGCCCTAGCTCAAGTTTGAGCAGTTCTGTGCTCAAACCTTGTTTGTCCTGCAGATTCCCTGGTCAGCCTTTGGAAAGGCGTGGTGGGCACTCTGCCCCGTGATGACGGTGTTACAGCTGGGGACAGCTGATAATGCTGCCCCTTTGTCCCCCAGGGCACAGACCTTCTGGGTGACCTGCTGTACACCACAGTGGCTCTGCACTGCTCAGGAGGAGCTCAGCTGCACCTGCAGGTAGATGAGAGCAGTACTCTCAGGAAATCTGCTAAGGTCAGACACCCTCTTTGAAACTGGCAGCCTTCACTTCCGTGTCTCTTTTTACCATGTATAGCACCTGATTGACTTTTCCCATTTCCTGACTCCTTTTTTTCCTGACTTGGGGAAGTGCCTGTTCTTTCTTTATGCTGACCATAGTCTAGAACTAAGCACCTTACTGAGAGATGATGGGGTATAGCAGCAACATAGTGACTTACTGTTGGTGGAGGCACACTCCAGGTCAAGTGGAAAGGCTGTTATTTCAGCTTCATTTCCTTGCCCTTCTGATTACCAAAAAGCAGTTTGCCATGTATTGTGAATTACTTCATTGCTATGAACTTCATTGATTTCATCCTTTTTCAGCTATGTTTTGGGTCTAGTGAGTTCAAACATAAATATTTAACCAAGTTTCTTGATGTAGCTGGTCAAATGTCATTTTTGTAATCTGAAAACAAATTATGTGGTTTGTATCTTATCTGTAGTACAATGTGTAGTGTTTTACAAATATGCGTGTTACACAAATTGTTGAATACTGAAGATATCAGTGAACCTTAATGCTTGCTGACCATGGCAGATTCTTTGTCAAATTGCTGCCAGAAATAAGGCAGAGGTTGATATTGTATTTTCTGCACGGCACTAAGGAAAGTCCTGTCTGAAAGCAGTAAAAGTTTAGTAGCTAAGGTGTTGCTGTTCACAGCAGAACAGACAAGATGATTTCTACAGGCTACTCTGCCATCTTGCTGTCCTGGTTTTGAATGGATAGAGTTAATTTTCTCCATAGTAGCTGGTATGGGCCATGTTTTGGATTTGTGCTGGAAACAGTGTTAATAATTCAGGTGTGTTTTAGTGATTTTTGAGCAGTGCTCGCACAACCTCAAGGTCTTTTCTAATTCTCCTACCACCCAGCCAGCAAATAGGTTGGGGTAGCACAAGAAGTTGTGAGGAGACACAGCTGGGACAGCTGATCCAAACTGTTCAAAGGGATATTTCATACAATATTTCATATTTCATATGACAATATGCTCAATGCATAAACTAGAGAGAAATAGGCTGGGGGCCACTGCTCAGCAGTGACTGGGCATCAGTTGGTTGGTAGTGAGTAATTGTTTTTAGTTTCCATTACTCATCTTTCTTGAGTTTCATTTTTATAATTTCCCCATCATCATCATCATCATCATCATCATCATCATCATCATCATCATCATCATCATTTATTTCAATTATTAACATGTTCTTAAGTCAACCCATGTTTTCTCACTTGTAGGGTTCCAGTTCTCTTCCCCTCTATCCTGCTGGAGAGTGAGTGAGTAAGCAGCTCTGTGGTGCTCAGTTGTTGGGGTTAAACCATCTCTATGAAAGTGTTTAGTGAAATGTCACATTTTAATGTAAGGACATAGGAACCCAAGGATGGGTGTGGTGGATCATGACAATAGTCACGGCAGCCCAGAGTTCTGTCCAACTCCAACACTAGCTTAAAATTTAGTTCCTAAGGAACAGAACAAAACCGAAGGTGGCTACCACAGAGGAATATTCTTTCAAACTGCTTCAGCCTCCAGTGATTCCTGAGCTATCAGTGGTATCTTTGAGTACCCTCAATTGATTTTGCTCCCATGAATTGGCCTGGTTACTTTTTGGACACATACATCTTAAAAAATTGTGTTCCACAGCCCAAGGGCATGGTGTGTGGAAAGCCACCTCCTTTGGCCTATTTGAAAATATAGAAAGGAACAAATACCAAAAGTGTGCAAACTCTAGATTTCTCTCTAACAGGATGAGGGAGCAACCTGGAAAAACAAAAATGGTAAAATTTCCTGGTCAAGATAAAGACAGTTAAACAAAGAGATGGAAAAAAATAAACAAGTGATGCAAAGACTCACCACCAAAAGGCTCATGATCACACAGTCTCTGACCAATGGCTGCATTGGAGAGACAATTCCCCAGTTTTCATTGCTGAGCATGATGTTAGACATGGATTATCAGTTTGGGTTGGTTGTCCAAGCAGTGTCCACTGCCAATCCCTTGCTATCCCCGAGCCTGCTACTTGGGCTGGGGACAGAGGGAGCAACCAAGAAAGCCTCAGTGCTGTGCAAGCATTGTTCAGCAGTCGCTGAAACACTGGTGTGTCCTCTCCACTGCCACAGATCTGGATCGTGGCACCACACCGGCTGCTGCGAGGGAGCCAGATCCAGTATGCCTGAGCAGGCTGTGAATACTCTTGAAGGGGCTGTTCTGGGGAGAAAAATGTGTCTGTTTTCTCACAGACCTAATCTGGAAGACAACAGAAGCAAGGTGATTAAGTGCAGGTCCCAGATTAAAGCTTTTGCTGTTTACATCCCATGTAAACACAGGATGGAATGCTAGGAGCTGGCCCATTCATGCCACTAGGTAGGCCCAGCAAAGCAACAGCTTCCCAAAGGCATTCTAAGGAAGGCCTGGAATTTGAAATACTGGTTCATACAGCAGCATCCCACCCTGTCAATTTGAGCTGGAATTCACAGGTGGAGCCAGAGAATGGTACCAATTTGTAACATGATCAGAGCCCCGAGCATCTGCTTTCCTACCACACTGGGACAAAAGCTTGGAAGAAAACAGAGTCTCTTAGGAGTTTTGTGTGAATGTGAACTATATCAGGATGGGTCTTTCAGACCCAGATAAACCTTTCATACTCAAATAGCCTTTCACACCCAAATAATCCATGTCTTTCTGTCATCAGAGGTGACCCAAGACCTTCGGCAGTTAAATCTCTTCCTGGTTAAATTCATGGATCCCTCCAAGCAGCTCTGGCTTTATTCCCAACACCGTTTTGAAACTCTTTGGGGATTATGTGAGTAATTAGATATATAATAAAAAAACCATGTCCGGATGTGGGATGATGCTGCAAGCAAAGCTCTGCTTTTCCCGTGCATTAGGCTTCACAGCAGTTGTTCACCCTCAGGGCTGCCAATGCAAGGCACTTTATCTACAAAAGCAAAGGAAAAGAAAAAGCAAACAACTAGAGTTTTTCCTTGATGATAATAAAACTCACTGGTTTCAGCAATATAATTATCCCTCAAAAGCCTAGAAGGTTCTTTTCCATTTCACTCATCTGCCCACTTCTGGTTTTAAATACCCTGGTGTGCAGTATTCAGAGCAATGCCCATTGTACTAGAATTTGCAGAATTTGTTGCTGATTAAAAAAACCCATTAGGACCAGGAGAAATGAGCAGGGAATTAGAGTCATCTGCCTCAAAACAGATCCTTAGCAGACAGACATATAAATCTGTATGTCTCCAGAGCCTTTATTTGTAGTCAGGGGAAGCAAACTTCTTCAGTGACTGACTCATTTCACAAAAATAAGCTCATAAGCAAAGTGAAATTACCTGTTTTCTGGAAATTTCAGTATTTCCCCACTAACAGGTGAGACTGTCAGCTCATTTGTACACCCATCTTTTTAATATCTAAATTTAAGCTGGATATGTTTCTTTCCTCACTGTTGTAGAATCTGCTAGTACTCAGCTAACTGGGCTAAAGATAAAATTTACCCATCCTTAAACCCCATTTTGACAACTCAGTAGAGAACAAAGTGTGGTGTTTACAGTATGTCTGGCTATTTTTGTGCACATGAACACTCAAAAACTGATTGAACAAATGTGAACTCAAGTTCTAAGCCAACGAGTTCATGTAGGAGGACAAATTGCTTTCCATTACCATTATCAGGGAGACAAAGAAGAGATTAAGATACATATATATTCTTATATATTGGATATGTGTTCTTATATATGGGATATATAAGATTATATGCATTTTAACACATCCTTACAGCATCACAGCATCTAAGGGGTCAGTATCATTTTGGCAATGTGTCAAATGATGGAATGGGATGGGAAGAGTCTTGGCAGATGGCAGAGCCTATTTCCCTGACATGGTTGTTTGGGTGGGATACCCCTAATCTGACACAAATTGTCTGAAAATCTGGATGAGCCCCCTCCCTAGTGTGTAAAGAGATGCAGGCACTGCCAGAGGACACTGACACCAATGTAATGCTCATCCATTGTCAGTAGGTGCTTTACAGAGACCCAGGTGTTTGAAGCAAAGAGCAGGAATGGTCAGAGTGTGACCAGAGCCTATGGGGTCATAGGCAAAGGCTCTTCTGTGGGACAGGACCTACCCAGGGAGCATCCTCTGCTAGGGATCTGGGGCTGTAACACATAAAGCTTCTCTAAAACAGAGGGGAAGGTGGGAGGGGGAGGAGGGAGAATAGAAAAAACTGTTTCAAACAGAACTGTCCAGAGAGATTTTGCTGCAGAGAACTCACACTGAGCTTAGCTGAACTGATAGAGCATGGGGCTAATAATGTCAAGGTTGTGTGTTTGATCCCTGTAGGGGCCATTCACTTTAGAGTTGGACTAGATGATCCTTGTTGGTCCCTTCCAACTCAGAATATTCTGTAAGTGTTTCAACACACTTCGTTTTTCTTGCCAGCATTATCCACTGCATTGTCTTTGAGCACCAGCTTCACAGATCAGAGATAAACAGAGATGACCAATCTTCTTCTTCTGCAGATTCTCATTCAGGATTACTTTAAGAGTAATGTCATGTCTCTTTCTTATTACACAGAGACTTCCTAAGGTAATGAAAGCTATGAAAGCTATTTCTTTTATTATTCAACTAATACTTCCATTCCCCTTCTTAAGCTACAGTTTTTACCATTTTATGCTGTGCACACGTTATCATCCCTTGTTTACTTGTTTCCCTACCAGGACTTTGCTAGGTCTTAATTACCATTGCTTTAGGACTATTACATAACTCACGAAGTCAGCTTTGGTTCTTTCTTATCATTAGCAGATTAATAAGTAAACTCATATCTCAACAGGAATGGCAAGGCACTATTGGCTAATTTCAACCATGTGCTTTGGCATCACAGCATATAAATAAGCATGGATTTACAGGTCCAGCACCAGGCTTTTTTGACACTTGACTTCTCTTTCTTAGCCCACCATGGAGGCCCTGGGAGTGACCACTATTTTCTTGCTGGTGTGCATCTCATGCCTTCTCTTTGTCACATGGAGAAGCAGATCTCAGAAAGGAAACGAGCCTCCTGGTCCCACTGCATTCCCCATTGTTGGAAACCTGCTCCAGATAAACCCATGGAATTTGCCTGAAAGCTTGAAACAGGTAAGGGACTGTCTTTTTCTTTCCTATGTTTTCTTCATGGCGTATAAAACAAAGTCCAGTCCTGCTGTTCTCAGCTAAATTCACCAGCTTAATTTGCATTGACCAAATGTTAAACAGAAACAAAAGGTTTCCCAGATATACATGTTTATTAAATCTATATATAATCACTTTTATATATAAACACACACATATATATACATATATATAATCTATTGTATATCTAAGACTACATATTACAGGTGTATATATAAAAATATATATGTCCTATATATAAATATATATGTCCATATAATATAAGTCAGTCTATATATTGGCAATTGCCATAGTGAAATGAGTTATGTGCTGACCTCACAATTTGTACCACAGTACTACACTTTGCAGTGGATTTGCAATCAAGGCACTGATGCTGTTGCAGTGTAATCTTCCTGGGCTCAATTCCTCACCACGTTGGCAACACAGCCTGGCCCTTTTTGTGGGGAGAGGACTGCTCCATTTTGCTGCCTCTGCTCCCCAGCAGATATGTAGGATCTCCTGGGAGTGGAAGTAGCAAGTGCAGAAATTGAAGTAAAATTGTTTGGAGGTGAATTGTGCTGTCCATTCCCTCCTCTGACTGATGTCACCCATCTGGCAAAAATACCCCTTTGAGAGACAGTTTCACTGTGTGTGGTCAAAAACCATTTAGGCATTTGCTTCCATATTGTGTATATAACTGATTTTAGAGCCCATGTAAATTGTTATGCCCTGCACAAAGGTATTCTAAAATGTTTTGCCAGCCCTGTGAAGGGCTATTTTATTTTCCCAGATTTGGTCTGGATACTCGCCATTTCCATTAATGTTTCCTATTTCTTGTATGATTCCCTCTTCCCTCATCTGTAACTTGTAATTGAAAGATCTCTGCTTTGTTGTTAATCAGTGTCAAGTCTCAAAAGTGTTGGGACAATGACACATCACGTCTCAGACCTCTTTGCTACAAACATCACATGGCTATCACTGATGTTGTTATGTTGCTCTTTGTGCTCACCTTTCCTACAGCTCAGTGGCAAGTATGGTCCTGTCTTCACAGTACATTTGGGCCCACAGAAGGTTGTGGTGCTGTATGGCTATGATGTTGTAAAAGAAGCTCTGGTTGATCAAGGAGATGACTTCAGTGGAAGAGGCATTCTACCACTGATTAAAAAGCTCTTCCAAGGCACAGGTACATTCTTGGTAATGCCAGCATGCCAAACAGATGCTTTCAGAACTTCAGAAACACAGCTGACAGGGAAGTGCAGAGGGGCATGGTAGATTTTATTTACTACTTTTATGCAGACAAATTAGCAATTAAAGGCAAAAAACCCGGCTCATTACTCTTGAGTAAATTGGTCCCCTGGAGAAGTATTTCAAGTCCCAGGATGGCTTCACTGAGTGCCTTTTTACTTCCAGTGTGCTTGAAGCTCTGGCTAAAATTTTGTGTATGAAATGTGCCTCTAAGGTCTTACATTCATTCCCCCATTTCTGAAAATATTTCGAATATAGATACAGCTAAGGAACCCGCAAAAGGAAAGTCCACAGTAGAACAAGATAATATAGACTGACCCAGTAAGGGCCATAGTCCAGATTAGGTAATGAGATTATTTACCAGGTCAGTCCCTGGTATGGCATTTATAGTACATATTCTATGGTATTATATATATAGTGCAGTACCATTGGTATTGTCCATAATGATATGCTCTATTGCAGGTGCACAGCAGAACATTTCAGTGGTTATGTCAGTGTAAAGGCCTTGTGTTCAAGACCAATTCAGTGTTACTTCCTACTTAGTTCGTAACATAGTTTTTCTTATCCTGGGAATAAAGTCAATTTTATTCAAGGGCTGTGACAGACGGATCAAATTTATCACCTTCAGAATTGCAGAGAAGTTGTGGTTTGGGGCAGATAGCCATTGCAGTGTAACTCCACAGAGAGATGTCTTTGCATGCTGAGTACTTACTGTGTAGTTCCCATTAAAGGGGAAAAAAAAGCTGTTTGATCATGGTCTATTTTTCCTCCCTGTATCAGGCATTGTGACCAGCAATGGGGAGACCTGGAAGCAGCTGAGACGATTTGCACTCACCACCCTGCGGGATTTTGGGATGGGGAAAAAGGGCATTGAGGAGAGAATCCAGGAGGAAGCTCATTTTCTGGTGGAGAGGCTGAAGAACACACATGGTATGCTAAGGACTTTGTGCCTGTTGAGACACTGTGCATATCTTCAATTAGACAATGAGGGGTGTAGGGCTCATTTACAAAATCTATGACTCAAGGAGCGGGTGTACAGCTGCTGTTTCTGCTGCCTGCAGAAACAGTTATCAGTGGGTCAAAGGCACTGTGATAGTATGGAGGATAAAAGTAGGAGAGAGAGGCTTGGAGAGTACCTTTTAACCTATTCTGCTTGAGGAACAAGACAGGAAGTGGCAAAAGGAATGGCTTTGCCACAGAGCCAAGGGTTTGATGGAATTCAGCTGTGGAGACAGTGCTGGATTGCTGTCAGGTAACCAAGTATGCTCTTCTTCACCTTGTCTCCTACAACTGTATGTAAACAGATCTTGAAGAAGTAGGTGACCAGAGAACTCATTTGCAGATATTTGGGGTTGAGTCCATCTGAACACTAGACAATAGATCCCAGTATTGATGGGGCTGTCCAATGGGAACAGGTATATAAGCTGCTCCTGGGGGCAGGGTATAAGGTTACCCACTTGGTGTCAACATGTAAATGTGTTTTCTAGTAATATATAAGTCAGTGTTACTTCTAAATATGTCCCCTGAGGGTGGCACAGTACTAGCCACCCTTTTCATTGCCTGCCCTCAATGTGTGCCTATTCTGCCAGGGGGGGAAAGCAGATCAATCTATAAGAATGATTAAGCATCACTGTTTTCCATGGGCCACTAGAAAATTAAATCTGGCTTCTCAGATAAACATTAATTTTATAAATCAGAGAAAACACTCTCACCTGCATTGCTTTTTATCTTTTGACTATCACAGTAATGCTATATTTCTTATGCCCTTATGCAAGTCTCTAGCTCACCTTGTTGCAGCATCTTTTACTGTGTATTAAAAGGTTTTACAAGCAAAACATACACAACCAAAAAGTATAAGACCATTATTTACCCTTAATGCAATTAATAAATAGATATGACTAGTGTCTTCTACATTCAGCATTAATATACTTACCACCTCTGAAATATCCACTGAGCCTTCAATGGCTGTGGGGTCACCAGTCAGGCAGAGAACTGGCGCTATTGCTCCTTGGAATAGTCTGCTACCAAGTTGATATTTTCTTACTCTGTGATTTTCTTTCAGGATTTTATACCTTTTCATGTTCCTCATCTTGAAACCTTGAGATGCACCCTATCACTGTCTGTAATTAGCTTTCCTTTCTTTCTTGGGTCTAATCTTGCTTTTTGCTTACACCGTAATTCTCTGCATGGGAGTCATGCAGCTGTGCTATCAAAACTAGACTTTGATCACAGGCATTTGAACCCCAAGGAGAGGATTACACTAATAAAGTTAATAAGGAGGTCAATAATCTAAAGACGTGGTTCAGTCAAAGTCCCCATGGTTTCACTGGGATTTTGTGGGAATGTTTATGCTGTTTCTAATAAACAGTCTGTAAGGCAGATAGGCATGTGGAAGCTGAAGAGCAACTAAGGCACTCACACCAGTGTTCTGCTGAGAACAAGACAGAAGAGATACTTAAACCACTGTGAGAGTGAAATTAGTTCACTTGAAGAATAAGTTGGTAGGCCCTTCACCATCCTTTCAAAGGAGTGCAAAATTCTGGATCCCCAGAGGATGTGAAAATACCTTCTAGTGTCAGAGGAGGGGTTGATCCATGAAACACTGAAAGCAAGATACCTTTTTTTCGTGGTTGTTGCAGAGCAACCCCTGAACCCTGGCATCTTCCTAATCCACGCTGTTTCCAACATCATCTGCTCCATCGTCTTCGGGGATCGCTTTGACTATGAGGACAAGAAATTTCTAGATTTAATTGACTGGATAGAGGAAAACAACAAGCTCCAGGTCTCTATACAAACACAGGTGTGTCTGGTTTTATTTCATATATTTGTTAGTTATTATAATATTCAAATCCCTGAATGTAGTGGAACCATAAATGGTCATAAAATCCTGAGTAAGAAAGACCTACTGCTCCAAAACAGTTTACCTGCCCTATTTTCATAGTTACAATCAGGGGAACATTTTAGTTTAGCCACATTAATCAGAGTGTGCTTTTTTATCCCTTCATTTTTACAGCTATATAATTTCTTCCCGACCATCATGGATTATATGCCCGGACCTCATCAACAACTGATAAAAAATTTTGAAAAAGTTGATAAATTTACAACAGATATTGTAACAGAACACCGGAAAACCCTGGATCCCACTTGTCCTCGAGATTTTATTGATGCTTTTCTTAATAAAATGGAACAGGTACTGTAAGAGTAAAGATTTATTGGATTATATGGAAATCACTACTTGAATCAGGTATTTTCTTTAACTTGTGATGGGGCATTGGGTTTTTGCAAATACAGAGGGAACTTGCTCTTCATGACACATTGACTTCATTTTATCCTCTCCCAGTTTCTTATCAAGTATTTTTAAACACAGAATTAACAGCATGAGCCGAAGTGATGAAAGCTGAAGACCAATCTGGTTAATATAATTCAATGCTCCTTCCATATCATACTATTATCTAGTAAACCTCCCATAAATGCTGGTGATCTGGAGAGTGAGTGTTGTATTTTTAAAATAATGTTAGATGTGTTCATAAACCTACATTATGGGTACAGGATTTTTCTTTTTAAGCAAACTCCTTGGGTTTGTCATTCAAAACCTTCTCCCAAATGTTCCTGCAGGAGAAAGGGAACGATCACTCAGTATTCACCGTTGAGACCTTGAGCAGAACCACACTCGACTTGTTCCTTGCAGGAACAGGGACCACAAGCATCACAATGAGATTTGCAATTCTGATTCTCCATAAATACCCAGAGATAGTAGGTAATGCAAAGAAATAGTTTAAAACTTTTTAATAGGTTGTGGGATCAGTTTGGACAATTCCTGTCACTACCACATGTGCCAATAGTCCCCTAAGGAAGTATGTTTTTGCCATGTGGAAATGTATATATGTCTTAATTGTCTTCACGAGAAGCAGATGTTAGTACTAAATATAATTATATATTCCTGGCATGCTAAAAGCATATTTTGTTGTAAATGTGGGGAGAGGTTAAGGCAAACAGATGGGGGACTTGTTCATTCAACATTTACTGATTTCTCAACAGAGAAGATGCAGAAGGAGATTGATTCCGTGATCGGCCGAGACCGAAGCCCTCGCATGTCAGACCGCAGCCAGATGCCCTTTACAGATGCTGTGATCCACGAAATCCAGAGATACATTGATTTCCTTCCCACTAATGTCCCACATGCTGTAATCAGAGACACCAAGTTCAGAAACTATTTTATCCCCAAGGTCTGTTACACTGTGTCCAAGAAAGGTCATAATCTCTTGAAAACAATTATTAGTTCTTTGTATTTTATTTATTTTCAAAAGCATTGAAATGTGATACTGAAATGATTTTTTTTTTGGAAGGGGACTCTGGAAGTTATTGTGTCCAGTCCCTTGAAGAAGAATACTTTTGCATCCTCTGTATAAAGAGAGAGATATTTCTGGGTTGTTTTTTTTTTTTCACATCAGTGTAAGTTGTAATTTATTTGGAAGCAATATTAAATACTCTAAACAGACTATTAAAATTCACTAAAAAACATCTTTGCCATACCAATGGCATATATTTCCATGCATTAAAAACTGGTTCATTTAAAACTGGTTGAACTTTGACTACTCTTCTGTTTAGCACTGGGAACTTCTTAGTGCCTCCTTGCTTTAACATATCTCCATTGTACCTTTCTTTTTTGTTAATTCAGGACACTCTGATATTCCCTATGCTGACTTCTGTCCTACATGACAGCAAAGAATTTCCAAATCCAGAAAAATTTGACCCAGGACATTTCTTGAATGCAAATGGTACCTTTAAAAAGAGTGACTACTTCATGCCATTTTCTACAGGTAAGATCTCTTGCTATTTCAGATCCCAGACCATCCTCTCCTGAAATCTCTCTGAAGATTTCATGGCTTCATCACCATTGTCTGTACAATGATGTCAGGTGACATCTGCCAGAGTCACTTTGGGGAAGCTCTAACCCCTGCACCATAGTTCCAGCTGACTTCCTTTTTTAGCAAACACAAGAACTCCTCCAATGCCTTCTACAAGATGTGTATGAAGTGGGACTCAGCCATAGAACTTGTCTCTCAAACCATCAAACACCAGCAGAACTTGAGCAACCAGAGCCTCCAAACTACCTTCACACACTTAGTGCTCTTGTTGTTCTAGACCTTTAGTTCCTAGTTTCATTTATCCTTCCCCAAAATACTGTAGCGCTGCCTCTGCATTCTGAGATGTCTAAATTTTCATGGAACTGTGGCTAAAATCAGTTATCAGCAAATACTCCACTGTGACCTCTCTTATTTTTTTTTTTTTTTTTTTTTTTTTTTTTTGGTTGTAGGAAAACGCATCTGTGCAGGAGAAGGTCTGGCCCGGATGGAGATATTCATATTTTTAACATCCATTCTGCAGAACTTTACTTTGAAGCCTGTTGTGGATCACAAAGACATTGACATTAGCCCAATAGTCACTAGTCTGGCAAATATGCCCAGACACTATGAGGTCTCCTTTGTTCCACGCTAACCAAGTGAAGAGTTTCCAGCTCCCAAACTCATGAGTGCTCTGGCTGAATGACAGTCATTCCTCAGTCTGTTGAGAATGCACTCAGACCATTTGGTAGCTACTTTATGGAGAGAAGAGTGCTTAGAAAAGAAAATTGTATGGTGCCTTTATAATCACCACAGCCAGCTCTTAACAGAGTAGGCAATCACACAGGGAAGGACACAGCACCCTATGCAAAATTACACAGATTCTTCTCTGCATATACCTCACCCAGATGGGGTTCCTGTCTGGCTTCTGACATGCCAGGCTGTCTGCACTAGTTCTCTGAGAGCCCTGCTGTTGCTGTTCCTGTCACCTGGGGGGTTCCAGCAGGAATAGATGCTTGTACTACAGGGTTTTTACAAACTCTGCTTGAAGTACTTCTCTCTGTACTTTGTTTGTTTGTAATCTATCTATAAAGGCAAACATAAAACAAGGAGTTTTTTGTGTTAGATAATGATAATCTATACAATTCTTTCCCCAATACTTACTGTCTACTGTGGCGGGGATAGAGTTTATCAGTGACTGGGCAGACTGGTTGTCCTCTGTAATTACAATGAGGGTTTGTGAAATTACAGTTTATACTGCAAAATAAAGAAGTAGTATACTGAATTGTTGTTTTTCTGATATTCCAGAACATCTTTTAGTGAAAAACCAGTGTCCACAAAGCTCATACTCCAAAATCTCTTTCAAGTCCTGTACACATCTGACTGCTTCATTTCACTCATATGAAATGTACTATGGCTTGAAGAATGAGCTGGTTAATGATCTATAAATGTCCAATCCTAATTTTGGATAAAGCTGCACTGACCCCATGGGACCCATTAGAACCCCAACTGTGGTTACAGAGCTGTTCACTGGGGAGAAAAAGGACAAATTAAGTAATACCAGGATACCCCAAGTACCTTTTCCTAGATGAATGCCAGCTTGCACTTTCCCAATATTTTATGAAGTACATAAAGATCATTAACAGCAATGTTACAATCAGAAAAAAATAATAAATAGAGTTTATATAACTTGCCAAGCATATATGTACAGATCAATGGCTGGCATTTCCTGTCTTGATCACATTCCCATCAATGTATAATATATAGTGATTACAGTGAAGACAGACAACTGAATCAGTATTATGTGGGAAAAGACAGAACTGTAGTATTACCACAATGCCATTAACTGTTTATGTGAAACAGACTAAATGTGCTTCCTTTAAAAGATAAATAAGCTAGATATACTATGCATTACTAGCATGGTATTGGAAAGGCAAAAAGCCACAAATTCCACAGAATCACAGAAATAAATTCCCTCACCAGATAAAAAGAAAACACTGAACTTCCTCTTTAGCTGTGTCATGACTAAAATAGCCAAAACAAATGAGGGAGCAGCTTTCTTATTGCAGTTATCTTCCTTCATGCTGACAAGGAGGCAGCCAATGCAGATCAGCAAAACAGCTTCAGTGCCTGGAGACTCCACCATGGTATGAAGTGGGCTTTGGGATTAGAGGAGGGCTAAAGCCATGTGCCCTGATTCTGAACACTGCGGGTGTCTCCACAAAGTACTGCTCTGAAACTTGAATGACTTCAGAATAACCTGTTAGTGTGGCTGGGCAGAACTGTCTTAAAATGCTGGACTAAAAAGAATTCTCCTCTGGAACTGAACTCTTCTGCTTCTTCTAAAAGAGCTATTATTTGCTAGGCTGATTTTCATTCCCTGGTTTGCAGCTGCAGTCCACAACATCAAGAACTGCTTCAGCTCCAAAGTGGTTTGCAGACCATTTTGATGACACACTTTGCCCCTGGACTGTCATTCATCAGCCCTCCCTTTTCTGCTTCCCTCCTGTTCCTCCTTTTGAGAACCCACTATTTTCTTACTCTATTTTCCACCAGAAAATGCTGCAAAGGAGAACTCTGAGATTTAATCTCCTCCTGCACCTCCTCTGGAACTTCTCAGGGATTCTCCAGGTGATACACCTGAGCATTAACCAAGTTGTGGCTTTGCTTTTGGACTGACTATACATTTCCCCAGTACAATGCTGCTCACACACACCTATGTCTCTTCCATGGTGCAGCTCTCCAAGGACCTGCCATCCTTGACATGATGTGGACTCTACCTGTAACACAGAGGTCCCTCAGGCAGGGAGGGTAACAATTACTCAGAGACACAACTGGGAACATAGCTGTCAGCTCTCAGCCTAACTGGAATGCCACTGTCACACAGTCCTCCAGCCAGCCAGGAAGTCCATCTCTAAAATTTCCTCTCAAAAAGAAAGTCCATTGTAGGACAAACCCCTTCTCTCATTTTTGCTTCCAGGAGGTGGAATACTCAAGAGTTTGTGAAGGAATTCACTATTTCTTACCTTTCTTACCTGAAAACACTGAGCACTTGGTGACAGTGCATGGCTAGAAGGATTTCCATCTTCAGAGCCCCTGGAGGTTTTCATCCTTGTAGTTTTAAAATGGCACTGTATTTTGTACACACAGAAAAGCAACTTTTCCAAGAGGAACAGGACATGGTCGGTCCTGTGCCTCTTCCTGCGGGATCTGTGGTGTTCCCTGCTGGCATGGCGCCTCCCTGTGTCCCCCTGCGGTCCTGCCTGGTAACACCGCGAGCACAGAAATGCTGCTTCTACTTCAAACCCAGGATTTTCAAAGTGATGGTGAAGGCTCTCAAAAGTCATCTGCTTCACTCTGTTTAAAGAGCACTAGGGAAAAGTGTCCATCCTGATGATCTTTATCACACTAGCACCTGACTAGACATTCTTTTGAACACTCCAAGTTTGAACCACTTCCTTCATACATACAGTACTTGTACTGTCTACAACTACAACTCACTCAAAAGCCAGCTTCAATTACTTAAGGTTAACAGGTACAGAAAAAATATCCTTGGAGTAGGACAAATAACTGTTCAGTACAAAGGGCTCTGCCAAATCAGCAATTTGGAACATTGCTAACCTAGTAGAGAAGTATGTTTTTGTGGTAGGCATGCCACTTCAAAAACCACTACAAAAAATATCCTTGGAGTAGGACAAATACAGTACAGTTCAGTACAAAGGGCTCTGCCAAATCAGCAATTTGGAACATTGTTAACCTAGTAGAGAAGTACATTTTTGTGGTAGGCATGCCACTTCAAAAACCACTAGGATCAAAATTCACTGGTGAAGCAGAGAAAGAGTCTGCTAAGTCAACTGAGCATGTAATAAAATACTATGTCTTGAAACTTCACCAGAGGTCCAGACAGTCGAAGAATGTAATTGCAGGAATACTTGATGCAGAGTTTCAAACATGTTCTCTTCTATCATCCCTAGTAGCTTGAAGGAGTTTGTCTTTATTAACACACCCCTTTGAAAAAAAAAAATCAAACAAACAGCCTGTGTAATCTTTCCAACAGAACTTGAGATTCCAGAGAAATCTATGCAGCAAGTTTATTGTAAATTTGTAATTAGTCTCTCTATTTCAAACAGATAAAAGGGGACACCAAAATGAAGTGTTTTCAATACTCCACCCATTAAGTCCAAAGGTCCAGGTATCTTCCCAACACAGAGCTCAATGAAGGAAAAATTGAAGTTTAGGTCCTGCTGCTACTAAGGCAAAATGTCTTCACAGATTATGGAAGACTTTCCCTAGACTGAGTATTTCATGTGGAAAACAGGACTAACACACATACAGCCAATATCGACATGAGTTAAAGACAGGCTTCTACTTTTCACTGCCGAACTGAGACAACAGTACCCCTTGAGAAGAGGAAAATATTATTCAGCCTTAAGCCTGAATACAGCCTACCAATAGCTGGAAAATGTCCCAGTCTCCATGTCAGCTGTAAACCAAATCCTTGTCAACATACAGAACTGCTGTTGTGCAAAACCAGGGATCAGTTCGATTCGCTGCCCAACTCCAGCTGACAGACTATTTTAATTTCATCGTTTCTCCAGTTTTTTGTACTTGGCTTCTGCAGAAGGAAAAATACTATTTTAGTATGGGGTAGGTAAAAGCTTTGCATCCTGTAAGCTAATTTACTGTATCATTCAGGATCCCTTTTTTCTACTGCATTTAGGCAGATATAATTGTATAATAATTTTTTTAAGAACCTGGTGCTTAAGTCAGACAATAATATTATTTTAAGCCAAGAGGGCTTGGGTGTCTGGTGGAACATTATGAATCCCTCAATTTCCAAGGTGAAACATCAGTTTTTAAATTATAAGTCAGTGCCTACCATAAAAAAGAAATCAAGCCTCACTAACAATCAGTAGTTTAACAACACCTGTACTAGTCCACCATAACGTAACTCATTACACGAATCGTTTCCCAATGCTTCACTTCACACACAATGTTTGTGCTCAAAAGCAGCACAGGCAACTCTGCACCTCAGATTAAAAAAAAAACCAGTTTGTTTGTTAAACAAAACAGAGTTTACTTTCTTTCTTTTTAAATCCTCTTGCAAGGCACTGTGCTGCTAGGTCTTAACAGTGGAGGACAATAGTTACCAAGTTTTTTGGAATATGCATCCAATTTATAAGCTGCCTGCTCCAGAGCGGCGACCTGTTCCTCAATTAGGTCTATCTGTTCCAGATATGGCTGAAGATCAGCATCTTAAAAAAGCATAAAAATGTTATCTGTCAGTTCTCAGTAATGCACTTCAAAGGAACAGATCACACTTGAAACACAAGAATTTATTACATTCTTCAGATAGGACAGTACAAAAGGTGCCCTCTCCCATACCAAAATTAAGTGGTGACTCTGACAGCCACATTCCAGGAAAATATTAACTGTTTAAAAGTACTGTCTAGTCTCTAACACAAATAACAAGAGAACATTAATTAAAATACATGTTATTCCTATCAAATCCAGAGTCTGGGGTAAACCAGGTAAACACAAATTCAGATGTATTTTCTCCTACAGTAGTCTACAGAGTCTAAAGCTGTTAAGAAATATACAAGACTGGCATTGCATAGCAGCACACCTATATCAGTGAGTTTTCTTTCCTTCAGCACTAATGGAACCTTCTGACTCTAAGATGCTTTATTTCCCAAACAAGTGCACCATTCATGACACCCCTACCTTATCTGGTGTACTTACATTTTTGGTTTAAATCCTTCAGATTTCTACTGATGTTTATAGCAATATCTTTCATTTCTAAGTACTTCAAGCTAGTCAGCTTATTCATGTTTTCCAAGAGTTTGTAGTCTTCACTGGTGGCTTAAAAAATAAAAAGTATATTTTAATTAAAGGTAATGTGGTTTGAATTGTGTGAAGACTCTTCAAGAGGACCAGAGATTTCAAACCAACACCCAAATGAAGCACAACAGTTTAGATGGCAATACAGGTTATTAACATACACTCTACAAAAAGATGACATTTTGTGAATTGCAAAAATCAACTGCACTGACGAATTTACTTCTAAACTTTTTTTGAAAAAAATTTACTAAGTCCTCATATTTCTACATTTAATTCTGTCAGTTAGACACTTATGTTTACAAAACTGATAGCACAAATCCAGACTGGTAATTTGTACCATATATCCTTCAAGTCTGCAAATCAGGAGTGATTTCAAAATTAGAGCCTATGCAATTAACTTGGTGAGCAGTTTACTTCACTCCAGTTAATTCTGCACATCAGTTTATTCTAAAGGATAAATATTGGAAAACATATATGATCCTTGCTCTCAAGAAAAAAATGACTCCACTCTCTGTGACGCCTCCCTCCAACTCTGTGTTAACCTAGACCATTTTTGTTAGATTGACTTTCCATGTACAAACTTCATTGAGATGAAAAAGAATTATTTTTAAGCTGCTGATATCACACTGAATTGTTCTGGAAAATATTTGTGCTATTCTGGGACTTCATTAAATTAATATAACTAATCTTGGTGTTGTCAGCAGCCTAGCAATGTGCCAAATTTGAACTGCCAGTCTTACCAGACACGACTGAAATAGTTACACTTTAAACAAACTATCCAACAGATTTCTTGGAAACAAAGAAGAAAAGAAAGAAGAACTTGCCGGTCAGTGTTGCAGTGCCTTACCTGTCAGTTCACCTGTCAGGTAAGTGGCCATTTTGCTGAACATGTCTTTGCAGAGTTCATTGATATCTGCTTCCGCTGGCTCCTTAGCTTCCTCTGCAGTTTCAACAGCAGGATCCTCTACGCGGGGTAAAGACATTACAGGGTTAAGGCAAACTGTAGCAAGTCCGGAAGCACAACAGAAAGATTACATGGTCCCATTTCTTCCCCCTTCAAGCTGCTACAGTTATCTTCCATGTAAGTTGCCTTCTTTACACTTTACACTGTTAAGGGGTAACCAACCACGGCAGCTTCTTCGAAGTAGCACCAACATTATTTCCAAAAAATACTTCAAGGAGCATTCAAGAGACAGGCACCCTGCACTGACAAGTATTAGCCCCCCTCGTGTTTAGACAGGAGAGCAATTTGGGGAGAACTTCTGAGTGGCTGTGCATGGTGCTGCTGTTTATTTCTAGTCACTGACAAGAAAAGAAGCACAGCTGCCCCAGCCCGCTTCATATGGGCTACAACAGATCCCCACCTGCGGAGAGCGGCAATGGCCGCTTTTCTTCTCCAAACCCGTTTCTACCGCAATCTGCCCTTGTTCGGCCCTTCCCCGGAGCAGTCCGGCACCTCTTCCCCAGCCCGCAGGCCGCTCCTTCCCCCGTCGGCAGCGTTGGCCGGCTCGCACACCACGGCTGCCCGAGGCCCGCGGCTCCCTCCGACCGAAGCGGCGGCAGGGGCAGGACCCGGCCGGTCCCCAGGGCAGCAGCGGCAGAAGGCGTACGGCCCGGCCCGGCCGGCACCCGCCAGGCCGCGGGCTCGCCGG